ATTTCACCAAATCTGGTTTCCCCCTTCCGTACGTTCAACAGTCGATTAAATTCCAGTTAAACAAATAAAAAATAAAGAGCATTCATAGCGCAGAGAATAAAATGCACCCCGTCGACTGGTCCCTTTGACAGGGGGACTACTAGGCGGCGGCGCTAGTTAAAATAAAAATAAAAATCCAAATAATGGTCCAAGGCATCCACGTCAGAATATCCAGGAACAATGAGTGCCTATTTGAAAAATCGAGTGGAGAGGCACCCAGGAACCTCAAGTCCTTGACGAATGACTTGAAAGAGATGCAGAAAAATGTCAATGACATCCTGACGATTCTCGTGGAATCTGGGAAAGGTGAATGTACTGTGGACATGATGGAACTCTAAAAATGGAGCGCGATTGATGTTCGTTTTATGAATAATCGAGATGATGCTAATGAGGGGATTTTTCAGGTCATGAAGCTGAGAGTGAAGAAGAGGATGATGATGATGAGGACCTGGAAGGGTTTAACCCCAAAAAATGTAGATTGGGAGAATGAACGGTGGAGTTGAGCACCAGAACGAGAATACGCAGACGCGGACCGGTTTCATGGATTAATAAAAGTCATTTATGTTCTGTACTGTATTCGTTTATGTGAAATAAAACATTCTGGGGTATTTGGAATATTCCGTGGCATCTGCTGGGGACAATTGTTTTATGTGATTCTTAGACGAGACTTAGAAACTTTATGATCTCTTGGTTGTGGTAATTGCTCGGGTAATAAAGTCATAAATGACGTAGATGAAGTGAGAACAGCTGGTTATAGCAATATTCACGATTTTTAAGCCGAGGGTGAAGTACTTGTTGTCAACAATTTGTGAGTATTCATTTATCACTCATTCCAGGGGTTTAACATTGCCATAACCTAAAATAAAATAAAAATTATGGGAAAATTCTGTGGGTTAATGTCATATAATAAATAGTAATAGTTTTTAATGGGAAATTTTTAATAATAAATGAATACCTTCCACAGAAAAAATGTCAACTGCCCTGTCGAATCAAGCTCAGCTCCGCTACATGGTGGAATGGTTCACGGAATGGTCAGAGATGCAGAGAGGTGATTTTATGAGTGTCCTGATCGCTTGCTGCGGTCCCAGGGACCTGGTGAACGGTCTTGTACCCACGATTGAGGCCCTGAACTGCAACGACGAGCCATCAAGACCGACGAGCCTCTTCCAGTGTCGAGTTAAATTATTCAAAGAGTGGAGCCAGAATTGGTCACAGCAGGATAAGGAGTCCCTCCTGACCTCCATCAAGAACATCGATCCAAAATTCGCTGAGAAATATGAGCGAAAGCTCATCGATGGTCACGATCACGAGGATGAGCCAGAGAATGGCTTTCCAGACTGTCCCTCGCCTGTCAAAACCTCCGAGGAGTCATGATCTGGCTCCACAATAACTCCACACTAGACTAGTTTTTTTTTTCATCGTAGGGAAATTCAATAACTCCAATCCGAGAAAATGATTTTTCTCTATTTTTGTATCCAGAGCTGCTAGTCTGCTTTATTATCGAACTCAATTGAACATTCCATCAATGACATTCCATTGTGTAAATAATTTATTATCAGACGATTACACGCATCGAAAATTTTGTTCTCGTAGAAATTTTTAGTATTATATTCATTCTTTATGAGTATGCTATGGGTATCTGACTGTGCAGCTTCATCGTTATATTTTTACAAATTCGTCGGCTAATCTAGACACAAGAGAATAATTAAATCTAATTCTCATAAATATATAATATATTTTATACGAACATATCACGTTGTGTTTACATATCACAGTTTACATTTCCGCCTCTTAGTGCGAATGAAATATCAAAATGCATCATTTTGACGAGGAAAAATTGGCAGTTGTCGTAATAAACGATCAAATTATTCCTAAAAGGTGTTCTGTAAAATTAATTAAAAAGAAAAAGGATAACGACTTAGCCCACCGACTTACTTCCTAGCCTGCTGAAGCCACTTGTTGCAGATGGACTTGATGGCAGTCTGGCCAAGCCTGTCAGCCTCCCTGAGGATCTTCCTGATGTCCTGACCCCTCGAGTGCTTAACCGCCAACAGATAGGCAGCCTTGAGCTGCTTGCTCTCAATATATGAGTCAATCTTCATCTCCACGTCATTAATAATCCTGATCAGGTTGTCAATCTGATCTTTAGGACTGGGAGAGGCCTCAGCCTTGAACTTGTCAAGCAGTAGTTTGACACAATGTGCAAGGACCCTGTCAGAAATCACCTGAGAATTCGGTGCCCCTGAGCTCCTGCAGCACTTTATCAACTGCTCGATGGAGCCTACTCTCTTGTCCAACGCCAGAATGTGCCCAACGAGGGAGTAAACCTTCTGCGGTGACAGGTAATAATCCTGCATTATTCTGAATGCAAATCCAAAGCCCTCCTCGACGTCCCTCCCACACAGAATTGCCAAAACAGCGAGATGAGTCCTCTCCTTCTGATTACCAAATAATGTGGGAACAGATCTTGGCTGGAGTCCTTCAGACTCCATGTATGAGAGTTTACTCAAGTAATCGTTGACATTTCTCCCCTCCCTCTCGCAATTCCCCAGGAACTTGGCGACCTCCATCTGCCTGGAGATGGTATTGACATGTTTATCGATCTCACTGGGCTCCATCTCCATGGTCAAGCTCCCCTGACCACTGGCACTCGACGACACACTCTTCCTTCTCCTCCCGAAGCTCTCCACTTGGAGTTCAGCCTCCAGGTGCCTCTGGGCCTCCACCAGGTAATGCGTCCTGGTGCAGAGATCAGAGTACATCGAGGCATCAGTCACATAAAATTTGATGCAGGTCATCGCTGCACGCACATAATCCCTCATGAATAATTGCAATTGATAGAGAGTATTCATGAGCTGCTTCCGCTCCAGGTAAAGACACGTGGCAATCAGGTACTTCTTCCAGGTCATGAGAGTTGGATCCTTCGCCGTCATGGTGTCACACAGCTTTCCGAGTTTTCCAATTTTAAGACATCCGATGATAGCCACGTTGAAGAAAACCTCTGGGTCCACATCATTCTCGAGGGCGTACGCCAGACACTTGTCGAGCTCATTGTGTCGAATAAAAAATTCAAGTATTGAATTACAGCTGCCATACATGAGGAGATAATACAAACTTTCTTGGTAACGAATGCTCTTGGAGGTGGTGGTCACCTTCACCACCTTGTATTGCCCATGGGAGATTCCTTTTAAATTCTCCAGGGTGTTCATAATCTCCTGGGCAGTCGAGTTCTTCCCAGAAATCTGAGACTTGGAGTACTGTTCACTGGAATTTGAGTTCTCGAGGATATACAAAATTTCTCCGACGAGTGGTGGATCCTTGGTGGGTCTGCTCTTCACGGATTTATCACCCCGGGCAGTTTTGGGTAAAGGATGAGGCAGCAGAACCCAATCGTCGAGATCGTCCTGACTCACCTTCTCCAGACAATAATCAAATTTCTCTCTGGCCCTCTCATAATACCCCGCTTTGAGACAGGCTTTTCCCCAGGCAGCCCACACCCCCTGGGTGTCTAATCCTGTCTTTGTACTGACCTTCAGGGCGAGGACCCACTGCTCCTTCTCGGTGAGAATATCTCTGAGCCTCCGGAACGCGTGATCATTCAAGTCGCCTCGTGGTAACAGTGCAAGACAGTCGGACTGCATCAGAGTGTCGATGAGATCGACCTGCGACAGGAATCTATCGCAATGTGTCAATCCTGTATTCAACCCCAGTTTCGCACACTTGACCTTCGCAGCGATCAACAACGACCTGATCATCTTCAGGATGAGAGCGTGATCGATCTCTCGATTGATCTGTCCTTTGGTGTCTGGATAGAGCAGTTGTTTCATCTCGTCGCAACGATCCTGGAGGAAATTGGCGTATGCCTCGTGATCAGAGTGGAAATTCAGAATGGCGAGACACAGGGAGATATTTGGTGCATACTCGAAGCAGAATTCTTCCCTCAGGGTATTGTTGTGTCCCTGATCGGTCGTTAGCTTCCAACAGTCGAAGGTTTCACTGCTGGCGTTGGAGGGGACTGTCTGCAGTTGTGACGTCTGTTTCTTGCAGTCATTGCAGACCCTCACCCTGACCGAACTGGCGTATCCAGTAACAGTCATCCTTTGGCTCGAGCACGCACCACAGACCACTCTCCCACACCTTCTGCAGTGATGACGTCTATTGAACATCGAAAAAATAACGTTTCTGCAACAGCTGCACTCCCTCGCTTTATCATTTGGGATCCACTCCTCTCGGGTTGGTGCATGCAGGGGCATCACGAAATCAGGGGCCTGCCCTGGAAGCTCTTTTCTCGTCTCCTGGTCCCTCTGGGTGGCCACTCTCAGGTCCAAGGACTTTCCAGCATAAAATCTCACGATTTTATCGAACTTCTCGATGGTGAAGCCAGAGAGTTTCAAATTATTCATCTGTGTCTGCAGAATTCTCCTGAGATTATCGAATTTGCAGTTCATCAGGAGCTGCTCCAGGAGGAGAAGGGGCTCGGTGATGAGGTGAACGTAGTGCCCTCGATCTTTTTTATCGAGCACCGACAGGAGGTCGACACCCAGTGCTCCTCGTTTATACTTATCTCTGTCGGTTGAATTATTCAGGAGGTACGACACCACAAATTTCAGGGCCTCCATGGACTGGACCTTCTCGATCACTCCTTTGCAGAGTTTTTCCGCCTGTCCCAGGGGAAGAGCCCTCAGGAGCTTTCCTGCGTGCTTGAACTCGTCGTTCTTACTGGCACTGTTCAGAAGACCCAGGAAGAGATCCTGGGAGACCAGTGATTGAATATCTGAGGAAGCTGTCTGGTATTCCAACCACTCCAGGCACAACTCGTACTGCTGTGCATCGATTAGAGACTTGACGATCTTCGTTGGGTCTGTCTTCTCGGTCCTGTAGACGACGTTGTACCAATTCAGCTCCGACTTATCCACTTGATCCTTGAAATAAGGTAGCATTTTATCGAAAACCATTACCCTGCAGAGGATCTCGATGAGATCAGACCTGCAGTGGAGTGGAATTCTATCCCTTCTGGTGTGACGAAGTAAATGGAGAAGAGCATCTTCGCAGGTCCTCACAGGCCAGACCTTCACCTCCGAGAGTATCACCTGAGCCAGCGTCTGCTCGTCCTGGATCTGGTACAAATTCTGGAGGATCGCAGGGCTGTTCGGGTCCTCACCGTCGATAATCTCGACGAGAATTTCATCCTTCAGCTTCTGAATCTCGACGTTCTTCAAGATAAAGGCGTCGGGAAGATTGTCCAGAAGATCAAGCGCTCGTTTCATCTCCTTCTTGATGAGAAACCCCTCGAGTACCTGCCACAGCTGTCCCACAGGTACGTGATTCTGGAGTCCAGCCAGCACTTTATTCCCTGAAAAGAGGACCTTTAGTCTCTCGATCGAGGACGAGTTCAGGAGGTTCTCCAGGACTGCGGTCCGCCTATCCAAGTTCGAGGGCGATAAAGAGATCCACATCTCGTGGATGCGTTCCACCAGGTAGCAGAGGAGCCAGCAGTGATTTTCGAGGTAATGCAGAAGGTTTGGTGATACCAGGCGTGTCCGCCAAGTCTCTGAACCACCTGAGTCCTGATTTTTTGTTCCCTCCAAGGACCTTGTGTAATTCAGCCTGATGCTGAAGGTAAACGCCGAGGGAACGAGTTTCCTGAAGACGCCAGGCAGAAAATGCTCCTCGTGAAATCCCACATACTCCTCAATGGCTGAGTTCAGGGCGTCATTCATGCTGTCTGGATGATAGACCTTCAACACTGGAGATATATCGAACTCATTTATCATTCCGAAGATGCTCCTGGGGTCCTGCTGGAGGTCCAGGTCCTGCCACGCTGGCTCGTTCAACTCCTCCACGGGTGACTCGAAGGATGGGACAAAGTCCGAGGGCAAAGACCCCAGCAATTTCGATCTCAATGTGAAAATCGTCACGAGCCCCAGATCACCGACGTGGTATCCTATAGTTCTCAAAGTGACTGCGTGCCTCAGGTCCCCCTCGGGTGGATCCTGACTCCAGACACTCAAGGATGCGTGCAGGAAGAGGAGATTCCAGAGATTCAAGAAGAACGACAGCGTGTGATTTCCAAAGGACAAGTGACTCAAATCCACCGACGACAGCTTCTCCGTCTTCCTGAGGACCCTCTGCACTTTTTGGTTCCCGGAGAGAATCGTCAGGACAGCAGGTGAGAGCACAGGGGCCTCTGGGTGCAGCTCCCTGATGAGATCCAGAAGTTCTGACAGGATTTGAATGACACAGAGATTTGGATCGGTGGTTTCAGGAAGTGAGGGATCCTCGAAGCTGTTCAGAATCGTTGTTCCCCAGGTTTTGGAGGTCGAGGGTGTTGTCTCGTCTATAGGATCGTGATGTGGGAGTTTGGGACAGCAATTCACGAGAATGCTGTACACAAGATTAACCTGGAGATCGTTGGCGATTTTTTCGAGCACCTGGAGATTGGTATTCAGATCGAATATTTGATAGCCGATGTAGAAATCGAGGGAGTTCTTCAGGAGAGAGGGACTGGCGAGCTGGGGAGCCCCAGTTTGAGGAGAAATACTCGAGAGGATCTCCAGGTGGGCGTCGATATTGTGGAGGTAGGGATCGCCATTGTTGCAGAGAGACAGAAGATTGGAGAACGTGCCTCGAAGCTCTTGATTATTTACTCGGTCCAGGAATTCTGTCTGACCCTCCAGAGGTTTCAGGTGCCCCTCCAGATCTGACCAGTACCTGAAACGCTTTTTCGAATCCTTGAGGGACAGCGGGCACCTCGCGTCGGTGATGATTTTAATGACTGAAGCCTCAGGTCGCGACTGCAGGAGATGATGAAGCGTTTGGAAGAGGTCAAAGTACCGGGAATTCTGGAATCTCTCGGAGGATTCGAAGTGCTTCATCGTGACCTCCGAGAGGTTCTCCGAGGTCAGGGGATCGTGGCATGAGGTCAGGGTGAGATCCAGCGAGGTCAGGGTCATCAGGTGTTTTGGGGAGGTGAGGGGAGGGCACAGGAGAGAAATTCGAGGCTCTTGTGACGCGAGGAATGTCTCGAGTTGACTGGTCTTTCGAGAGGACTGGAGACCCTCCTTCACGGCCTGGCGAATTATCTAGAGGGAATTCCATGGTCTCTGTAATTCACTCAAAGTCTTACGAAAAATATAACACCTATTCGCACTTACATTAATTGTGGAATGTTTAGAGCGCGCCGGAAAGTCCTCTTCAGTCTCGACAGTCTTTTGTCTCTTAATATCTTCCCTGAATCCCCTGATCGCCTGCGAGAACATTATTTCCGCTGCCAAGGAGCTGCTCTCCATCCCCAGAGTCTAGAAAATATGAGGAGAATTGAGGCTCTCCTTCTCGGCATTTGCTTCATGGATTTCTCTGAATCCCTCTGGCTCCCAGAATTTAGAGTTGCGAGACCGTGAATTGTAAATAATTCTGGCAAATGATAAACCGTAAATGTCACACGTGTGTTTTGATCAGGTGGACCTGAAGAATCACGAGACCTTCGAGGTGGCAGACGACGAGAATTACAACGAGGAGGTGGAGAATGAAATGATAAAACCAGAGGACCTGAGAGGGATCGAACCCCTGGAGGAGGATAATCGAAAATTTCAAGCCCTGCACTCCCATGTGGCGGAATACAATCGCCGAGCTGCAGAGACGAGAAAATATCCTCAGGATGTTGATATCATTGATCCAACTGTCCTGGAGAGGATCAAGGAAGTCAATATTTTTGATGATCCTGAGCCGTTCACGTCGGGGTATCAACATGAATTTATCAGACTGGCGAGGGTAATTTTTTATTTCTGGGTAAATTCTTATCTGTCGTTCTGAATTTTCCCTCTCGATATCTCTAATTGTTTGACATCCCATTGTCCGATGGGGATTTCTCCCGATCTATAAACATCCATTCTGTCATTAGCGACGCAAACGAGCGGACGAGGATGACTTTTCGGCGACGGTGAAGCAGGAGGACCTCCTCGAAACAATGAGACCCCGTGATCACTCTATTGTGAGTACGAGGCCAGTTTCCTCATCAAGCTCTGGTGCAGAGGACTATTTAGACCTCAAGAGCACTTCAATCGGCTTTGAACCCCCAACCCAATCCACAAATCACCCAAATATTGATCTGGAGGTAACGACCCCACCCCCAGGAGACGAGGAGGAAAGCTACGACTACGAGAAATTCAAGGCAGAGTACTATCAACATATCGATGACATGAGAGCGCAAAATCTCACCTACAATTTCACGGACAGAGGGGAGCCCGAAGACACCCCGGAGGAGGCCCTCAAGAAAATTGTGGAGTTAAAGATGCCGAAGAATTGTACGCGAGAAGAACTCACACAGATCGGGGCTAAAGCCATCGAGTGTCTCGTGTTTGACTATCAACATGCGAAAAATCAGACGGACGTTAAAAGGGTTATCACCAGGAGTTGGATGGTCCTCAGGGTTTGGTGTTTTATTTATTTGTGCGTTGCCGTTCCTGCATGGTGCCAGAAGGGCTGGTGCTGCTGCTGCTGTCGCTGCAGCTTTTGCTTTCCCCTCGAGAGAATTCAAATTGCAAAAATGTATTTTGCCAAAAATCCACCGGGGATTCTCAGACAGGCACGTGGGGAACCGTACACGTACGATCCCAGTGCTTTCGAGCTCGAGGCGTACGAGGAATTCGAGAGTGCAATTAGGAATTTATGACTCGTTTGTTCTTCATGAAATTATCGTTTACGGTGAGAATATAAATTCAATCAACAATTTGTTAATTGAATAATACGATTTTTGGGAATTTGCTAATTTTCTTTGGGGATGAGAAAGTTTGCAAATTGAATTTTTAGATTTAAAAATTTTTCTATCCCCAGTCCCAAATTTGATTTAAGTGAAAAATTTAAACTCACCTCAATGACCCTCTGCGCCTCCTTATAATCATTCTTCCAGAGACACCTGACGACGATAGTCTCGGTGGTGGCCAGCATGTAATTAAGACTGCCCTCCTTACCACCCCTCCTCGGGAGACTCCCCCTGGGCCGCCGCCTCCTCCTCCTACCGTGATTAAACCCATTATTTCCCATCGATCCGCTCTCGGAGCTGCCATCGAAATCGCTCCTAGTGTCAGCCTCATCCGAGCTCTCATTGGCCCGATAAAAATTCTCCCGACATCCCTGATTAATGAGCCTGCCCCCCACATCCGTGACAGCCTGTTCCCCACAATCTGGTAATCCCTGTTTTTTGAGAAACTCCGAGCTCGTCAGCAGTTCGAGTCGCCATACGGCCTCCGTCAGATACTTCTTCATCGCTGATACCTTGTCTTCAAGCTCTTGGTGACCCCTCGATAAATCATTGGCAACGAAGAGACATCTGTTAAGATAATGAATGGTCTCTCTAATCGCATATTTGTTACAGATGAATCCAGTCTTGGCTTTCTCCCACGACTTTTTATCGTCCTCGTCGTCGCCGACGTCTGAGACATCTGCAGAGAAATCCTCGTGCCTCATGAACATCATGGAGAAAATATTCTCAATGGTCTCGAGCCTGACATCCAGGGGGTAGAGCCCATTCAGGAATTCCTCCATCTGGCTGAAGCACTCGGAGACTTTCTCAAATTCCTGGTTGTAACTCCCGCAGAGGAAAATCGCTTTTACAAGGGTTAGCATGACGAGGTAAGCCCTCATGGTGGTCTTGGAGTCGTCGCAGTCTGTCAGGAGATGACTGACGTCTTCATTTGTCTCGTGAATATCGACCCACGACTTGAGGACCGAGAGCGTCGAGGACGTTTGGAGGTGGCACAGGATACCCCTGGGAGAGGGTTTCGAGGATGTCGAATTTCTGGAGATCCAATCCAGCACTTCCACCTGATCGTGCAGTGTCTTCTCCAGTCGATGGAACATCTCGATTTCCAGGAAATTCAGATCAGACTTCGAGAGGAGATTCCTGAGGCCTTCAGGGGAGACCTCTGAGGCCTCTGTGAGAGTCTTCAGAAGGATCAGCACCCAGAAGCTGGGGAATGAGGAGTTGAGGGTCTTAGAGATGAGGTCGAAGCGGTCGTGAAGGGAGAGGATGTGGAAGATATTCAGAAGATCTGACAGCCAGTGATTTCTAGTCTTTATCGTTCTGAGGAGGAGCTCGTCTGGACAGGGATGGGAGTCCCTCAGATTGAAAATGGCGTACGTGATCTTCAAGGCGTGATCCAGAGTATCTGGGAATTTTCTTCTGGCGAGAATATCGTCGAGGAACTTGTGCCAAGTTTTGTAATACTTGTGGTCCTTCCTGGAGTATAAGGACAGCTCGACGTCCTCGAAGGTACACGCCTTGAGGAGTGTTGGATTCTGCCACTGGAGCAGATCTCTCTCTTTCGATTCTGTCAGGTCCACCTTCGAGAGCAAGCAGAGCAGCACCCCCAGGTGTCCCTCCTCCACGAAACTCGTGTTTTTCACTGCGTGGGAGCAACGCTGAGCCTCGGTTGATGAGTGAATTGAGGCGGGTTTCAGGATGTCTTTTAGGACACCCTGGACGATGTCCTGGAGTGACGAGTCTGTCAGCGAAAACACCGGTGACCACAAGCACAACAGCTGATCGATTGTCCATTGGACGAGAGCTGGATTGCGCCAGAGATTTTGTTCTAGGAATTGCAAACTGGTTGGGGAAAGCTGCGGGGGTGGAGGTGGGTCCTGACCCGCTGAGATTACTGCAGCAAATAGAGATAGGAGTTCCTGGTTGGAGGGAAACATTATTGAGCATTGTAAATTCAACAATCAAACAACTCACGCGTGTTCCTAACCCCATATTTCTCCTCCATAAATACCCAAAAAATATCAAACCTGTTGGACAGTCTCCTCCACTTGATTATCAATAAATAGGAGAATCCTCCTAAATAATTCAGTCTTCCTCTGGATTTCCATCCCCTCACTATCGCTCATCAATATCGAGAGCAACTTGTAACTGACCGTCCGCTCCAAGTATCTGAATGCAACGCAAAAATCTAACGATGAATCATCGAACGAGAATAAACAAAAGAGCCATGGCAAACAGATTTATCGCTTACCCAATTGATCTACTTAACTCGATGTTTCCTCCTTGATTACTAAAACCATTATTCTTGGTGCGATTAACTGCACAAGCAGTGTACCATAATTGTGATTTAATAAAGCCCCCTAGATCCACAGCACCAGTACCTCTTGACATTATCCAGAAATAATAAACCTCATGTCCCACCCTAATCCCTTTGTTATGACTTTTTGTCACGTTTTTTTTTTTCTTCACGAAGTCGATGGAGTTCCACTCTCTCTCGGATTCAGCTACTCTCACACGTGCGACTGCTGCGACTAATTAATATTCCTCTGATGTGAAGTTGAAACCTCTCGTTAGAGGGTTCGACGACTCTCTGAATTTTGCAATAAACGGAGAGATTCGTTTGTGGATATTTTGTTTTTGTTTGAGAGTCGGGAATAATTATTTGGTATTATCCGCAATCGCTTAAAAAAAATTTACAGTAAAAAAAAAAGAATTATTTATAACAACTTATAATTTATTCAGTTTGATGAGGAGATATTTTTTTATTTAATTACCTATAAGTAGGAAAATTAATGGATGAGCTGATTGACAAGCAACTCCAAGAGGAATTGTCAACAGACAGCGGTGTCTGGCCTCGAAAAAAAAAAACGTTGACGAGTGTCAAAATCGCGGAGAAGTCTCACGGTCTTTCAGCACCAATCGAGTCGTGGATATCAATATACCCTCACATCCCTCATCACTCCAGTCCATCCCCCTGTAACCCGATCCGCCATTCAATAACATGAATTAATAATAAATAAGAACTTGATGAATGGTATGCCCCTGTCTTTGCCAGTCAAAAGAATTTTCCCAACCGTAAGCATTTCAACATCTCCATTACCTCAGCCCAACTTCTAATATTTACCATCCCATTCAAACCCGCGCAATTAAATCCTCTCCGAATCCTCTCCCTCAAAAAATATCCGCATTATCACGCATACGTGTCCCACAGGAAATACATCAAATGAATGACGGCATTATAATTCTTCACTAGCTCAGTCGGCAGAACATAAGACTCTTCATTCCGCTCTTCATTATACCACTGAGAATTTTTTGTATACGAAAGACGTGTCAGAAAAGCCTGTCGACAAATAATGTTTACACAATTTTTCACCGAAGTGCCTGTTTTCCCAAGTCGGTGCAATAAAACGGTCCTATCAATTCCTCAGTCTTCCCTGAATTCATAAACAAGAATAAACATATTTTTTTTCAAATTGCTGTCACAGTAAATTTTTCGAAAGCGATTTAAGCAAAAAAAAAAAAATGCACATACCCTGGTCGGCCAATTCACAGCAGACGTTACAATATCTCGAGAAATTGCGGGTGTCCTGGCAGAATTTTGTTGAAAATCGTCTGCCCAGGACGCAGGACATGCCTAAAAAGAAAAATGATGATATTATAATTGCTGACTAACTCAGTTGGAAGAGACACGGAGGCCCTCGATTATACCGCTGTATAATCCAGCACGTTCGTCCATAAGTTGCCAAAATAGGCTGTTGACAGACAGAGTCTCCGGAATGTTGACCGATGCTATTTTCCGGATCGCGTGAAGACAATAAAATCCTGTCCCAATTGTTCAATCCTCATTTCCGAAAAAAAATAAATGCATTATCATGTGTACTTGATCCCACACGAAGTCTCCCACGGTAAAATAAGGGAGGAGGAATGGTGGGGAGCTACGGCCCTCTGTCCCTTGATGTCTTCCCCTCCACTGTCCAGCGCAGCATGAATTTTCGTCCCCCCAACACACGTGGAAATTTCACTGGTCTCACACAGATACAAAATGGGTACCTCGTAGGCACATGCCCGAGAGCCAACCGACGATGAACGAGCGAAACCCCATCCCCATCACATTTCCCCGGTACACATATATAGTATATAACCGTCTCTTTCTCTCCCCACTATGTGGGAGCACCAGGGCGCCGATGCTGGTCTCTGAGTACTTGAGAGAGTGCCCAAAGCCCCCGAGTCAGTTAGCCGCCATCAGTCGTTCGTTTATGTTCTCACTCTCCTCCGCTCTCTCATCTCTCGGTTTTCTTTTTTATTTTTATTTCATTTTGTTTCTGTTTTCAATCCTGCGAGGACTAAAAATGTGATACGTGCGCTGTTAAAATTCCCGACCAACGACATCCCCTTGAAAAATAAAAAAAATAATAATAATAATTAAATAAAACAAGTGTACTGGTGATCCTGTGGGACTTGGAAGGACTCCAATAATGCCTGAACCGTGTATATAGATTGATATTTAAAAAATTGAATCATAACAAAGACGAGTGCTGTGTTCCCATGAAATATACAACGAAAGAGTAAGAGTGGCCCTGAGAATGAATGATGAAAATTGAGGCGAGATGAGAAATCTATCAAAACTACTATTGATATTTTTAATAGGACTTGTACTAGACATATTAGCCTTCGACAATGACATCGGCAATAAGAATATAGCCGAGATGTTGCGCTCAAATGTTAAGGAGTTGGATGAGGATGACAATTCCAGTGAGGATGATCACAATGATAACGACGATGATAGTTATCTCCTGGGAGAGGAGGAGGACACACCGCCGAGGGTGGGCAATGGTTCTGGTGGTGATGCTGAATTGATAAGCGGTGGTCGGCATCTTCCTGTTTTTCTCATGGAGCCACTCGATAGTTTTGTTATTAAAAACAAACCGGCAGCATTGAGGTGCAAAGCGGCGCATGCACTACAACTTTATTTTCGTTGCAATGGGCAGAGAATGGAGGATTCTTATCAGACTGACTTCGTTGATCCTCACACCGGCACGAGAATCGTTGACGCCGAGGTCAACATAACGAGGGACAGCGTCGAGGAGTACTTCGGCAACAGCAAGTACAGATGCGAGTGCATCGCATGGTCGGGAACTGGTTCCATCACTAGTCAGCCAGCGATCATTGATGTAGCCTGTGTGTACCCACGTTCGACGTAATTCATTAATTTTTGACGTAATTGCGATGACAATTGGAGCGAATGAACCTATTTTTTTTTTTTCCTTCATGTTTTTTGTAGATATCAAGAAGCAATTCGAATCACCGCCGTATTCGGTCTCTGTGGAGGACGGACAGAGCACGGAATTACGGTGTTTACCACCCCCTGGTGTACCAACACCCCGGGTTTACTGGCTCAGGAATGGGGTTGTTATCAATGGGGGTGATGATAAGAGTGAGCTTGGAAATAGTATTTTAATATCGAGCGAGGGACACTTGATGATTGGACAGGCTAAGCTTATTCATCAAGCTAATTATACGTGTGTGGCGGAGAATATTGCCGTCAAACGACTCAGTGCTCCCGCCGCTATTACCGTTTATGGTTGGTTGAATTCATTTACTTGGTTAGATTAATAAAGAGGAATTATTTTTTCCCCCTTGGGGTCCAGCAAATTGATTTCTCTCTTTGTGTATTGAATTAAAGTCGTGACGAGCTGATTTATGGGATAATGTCAAAAGATCGATGTAACCCGGAAACTCGAGGATTTACTATAAAAGTCCCCGGGAGAAATTTGTAGCTCGTTAAATGTCTGAGAAAAAATGTCCTTTCGATTTTTTTCTCAACTCAAAATTTCACGGGGGAAATGGACACCGAAGTTTCACCCTCACAAAACAGAATTCGTCTTTTTTTTTTGTTCGAGGGAAAAAGTCCGCGAATTCTCTTTTGTAACTCGAAAACTATGAGGTTTAGAGAGAAAACTCCTGGGGACCATCTGGAACTCACAAGTTTTCCAACAAAAAATATCATCTGACATACTCCCCTGAAACCAGTATTTCTCGTCGAAAAATCGAGTTTAAAGACCCGCCTCCTCATTTCCTCTAAAACACAAGAAACATCGAAACAAACGTAAATTCCAATGCAAACCCCTATAATTAAACCACTCTGCATCGAAGCATATCCAAGCGATCCCAAAAACTATCATCTCCATCGAAAATAGCTGCTCATCCTTATCTCCGGGACTAATGGTCCAAAAGAATCCCAAAGTGCCCCCTCCTTGAAAATCGGTAATTCAGTCAGCTTCACACTCCGGCATTTATCATTTACGTCTCATTTGTCATGCAGTAGATAACTCGGTTCTTTTAATAGAAAAAAAGAAACCAAGGAAAAAGGAACTCAAGAGGTGCTGATTCCTCCGTGTTATTTATAGTAGTCATTTACTTTTGAATTTATCCTTATGTTCAGTTAATGGGGGCTGGTCCCAGTGGTCTTCGTGGACAGAATGTCATTCACGGTGCTCCAAAGGGGGTCAAAAACGCACAAGAACCTGTACCAATCCCGCACCAATGAACGACGGCCAGCCGTGCCTGGGTCCAGCTATTCAGAAAATGGATTGTGACACCTCGTGTTCAGGTATAATAAAAAAAAAAATACGATAAAATCGCTGTCACCCCGCCCTCCTCAACACCACTAAAAACCCACTTATAAATCGATCTCTCATATCAATTTTCCCGTGAAAACGATCTACAGCGGTGGACGGGGGATGGTCAAAGTGGTCGACCTGGTCAATTTGCGGTAAAGACTGCTCTCACACAAAGACACGAACCTGTGACGAGCCGGCGCCAGCCTACGGTGGTAGACACTGTCCAGGAAAAGACACTATAGTTGGCAATTGCACAGGCGGACTATGTGAAAACGGTAATAGAATCTCACAGTCGTGATGAAATATTGTTATACAGATCCATATGTTTGAAGTTGAGAAAAAAAAAAAATATATGTGCGATTGAATGCTCTAGGTAACAATGGAACAATGGGTGGCATACAGCTCACAACAAACCACACTGCCATGGTGGGCTCTACTACGAATAGTAATGCTGCGACGGCAGCGGAAAAGGGTAAAATTGCGGTCGATAGACAGATGGATATGACTTTCTACATGGGACTTGTTCTTGCGTGTATTTTTGGCATTGGGCTTGCATTGCTTTTGATCAGGCTTGTAAGGAGAAAAAATCAGGATCACAGGCTGTACTCGATGACTCAGAGTGAGGAATTCCAATCAACGAAATACGATAAAAAGCCATGCCTGCAACCGGACCTAACAGCCGGCACAGCGGTACAGGCGGCCTCGACCTACGAGTACCCGTTCGACCCAAAACTCTCATTATCTCGTTCCCTCTCGGAGCACCACTACGACGTGCCCCATCATGTTTCAATCGGCTTCACTCAGTCATCCCTGACGCATTCGTCCCATCAATCCTGCGGTGACAAGCAAATATATTCTGGCAGTGAAAATAGCATCACAAGTATAGTGAGCTCATCGTATCCCTCGTCGGATTCCACAACGACCTACAACGTTGCCTCTGAGCGAGTTAAATTGGCCAATGTAGAGCAATCAAGTTGCATTGCTAGGGCAGCTGTCAACATACGAGGTGCACTCCTTGTACTGCCAGAGTGTGGTGTATCGCTCTCAATTCCCGAGGGTGCGATACCCAAGTCACAGACTAAATCACACCTCTACGTATCAGTCCTGGAAGACGTTAAGCCAAAATTTCCAGAGGGCACGACTCAGCTGTCAGCTGTGATATGCTGCGGTCCATCCTCCATAACATTCAGTAAACCAGTGATTCTGCAGTTTGAACACTGCGCTGTACTTCAGCCATCGTCAACCTGGGAGCTGTCAATCTGGTGTCTCGATAGTCAGAATGAGGTAACCGAGGAGAATGACACGAAGGAGTCATTAAGCACTTGGCGCAAACTCCTCACCCTCGGCAACGAAACAATAAATACCCCATTATTCACTCAGATTGATCACACCGAGGCATTCATTGTCACCGAGCAGCTACAGAGTTATGTTTTAGCTGGGTGCAGTATCGATGATCACGTGGTGGCAGCTAAAAGATTAAAAATTGTACTGTTGGCAAGTCAGTCGAGGCAGATTAGGGTGTACATTACCGAGGATACAAAGGCATCATTGAAGGTGATTAATGATCGTGAATCACAAGAATGGGGGTATATTCTCGATAAACCACGGAGTATAGTATTTCAGGACAATGGTGAGGCATTGTGGGTTAGTCTTGAGCAAGTGGGAAACGAGTGGGAGAATAAATCACCAACTGAGAGACAGAGCATTGATTTTTATGATATATGGAGATCAAGGAGCAGCTATGTGGAATTTTTACTCGACGATGATATTGACGACACGAGCAAGTCGTATAAACTTCAAGTTTACCAGGGATGCACCAGTGACGCTGGTAGGCAGGTATTTAGAATAATTTATGATGTACCTAAACAACGGATATTATCGGGCAGTGTGACACGTCCAATTCGGGAGGTGACTGTCGTAAGCAGTAGCACGTCTAGCAGCTCCAGTAGTCACAATAGCAATATCGTATCATCCGAGGGTAGCTATCATGGGCCATTTCGGTTTACTAAGTCGTTGAGGAAGCAGTTGTGCCAGTGTTTGGATCCACCGAACAATATTGGTAACGATTGGCGAATGCTGGCACAACGGTTGAGGGTCGACAGGTATATCAATTATTTTGCCACTAAAGCTAGTCCCACTGAGCATATACTCGATTTGTGGGAGGCTAGGCATCGCGAGCCCAGTGCCGTCAACGATCTTGTTAATCATTTGAGAGTTATGGGGAGAACCGATGCCGCAACTATTCTCGAAGCTCAACTCGGCGCTTGGCTATAAACTTTTATTATTTATTGGTTCTTCTCACCGGTGATTCTCTCATTTTTTCTTTCTATTTGTCATTGTCATTTGTTCTTCGTCATTTCGTGTATTTCAATAATTCAGGAGTGAATGTCGGGGATATGGAATTATTATAAATTCACGCGTGTTTTGTACGATGTTTGCCGATTGGTACGGCCTATTAATCATTATGTTCCTATGGATATACTTGAATGATGTATGAACACTGCCTTAATTATCGCATTGGATCGGCCTTTTTTTGTTGGCAATCGTCAGTCGAGCGAAATGAGGAGATAATTTTCAGGACAATTGAGTGATATGAGAATGGAAAATTGGTGACATTATCGTGGTGAGGGAATTTCAACGTTCCGTATGGTGCAATTATTTTTTTTTTGCTTCATCAGGCAATTGAGAAAATGAACGGTAAAATTTGTGGAGTTTAAATTGGAAAATTTGTGGGTGTCTTTGGAGCTAGCCGAGTGGAATGACTTCGACTCACAACTATCATCTGAAAATAGGAAGAGATCTCAGAGTGCATTCAAAATGACTTCTCATCCTCAGGTGAACACTATTATATTGGAAAAGTCGGGGGACAATGGGTGGATAATTTTCCCACTCTTATCTTCTCATTCCACTTGTCTGAGTTAATGTACATAAATTAATCAAACGAATTTACTTAGAGAACGTTAAGCCTAAAGGAAATATTGAGAAACGGCAACGATACCAATAACGTACATGATATTACAACTTGTAGTAGAGGAGTAAAACATTATATAATTTTAGATGTAATTTTTATTAGAGAAAACGAAAAAAAAAATAAAAAGAATCTCCTATACACGTTCACGTAATACGTACGGTATATTTAAAAGACATAGATATATGTAAATAATTCGAAGTTTAAGAGTATTATATACAATTATCGATTCCCGAGGACTGATGGAGCCCGAGATGACTCACACTTTCACCCCGAATACGAGGATGTACTGTATCTCATTAATTTACTATGTGAATTGTGCCAAAATTATCCTTTTCAATAATTCATCCCTTCTACTTCGTGTCACATTACCATTATCCATTCCCCATCCGTTTACAGCTGATAATTATGAATTTTTATGTGCCTATTGATGATGTTATTAGTTATGAACTATGTGAAATTTAATGATTCGCCGTTTTTTGTCATTTATTCTGCCAAGTCAATGCATTTATTTGGATAATTATATATTTGTTACTTTGGATGAATAAAATATTCTTGTATATTCAAACTCTCGTCTCGTTTATTATTATTTTTTAATTTTTACCTTCGAATGTGAATTATTTTATTTTTCTTCGGTATCTCAAAATCAAAAGGGAATCGATTCGATTATTTTTTTTTCGTTTAAAATATTCGTTACGATGATTTTTTGGCGCGACAACTTGTTTCATTTGTATTTAATCTAGTTTTATTGGGGCGCGAGTGAAGTTTGACATCAAAGTGCCAAACATTCTTCGTTAAACGCGTGTATCATGGAATACACTTTAAGTATTTCAACGTGTCGAGGGTATTTCCTCTATATGAAGAGGGAAACGATGAAAAGATTCTCTCCATAAAAATAGCTCGCAGTTACATTTCACCGGGCGGATATAAGAGGGAGGCCCATTGGGATGATGTTTTGAGGTCCTCTCTCTCGTCTGCATTGATGTGTTTTATATATAGGCCCTTTATGCCTTATGTAAAGTGTACACATGTCTTTACATGCCACGCAAATTATTCCTCACTCGCGTGTTGCATAGTTATGTACACGTCAGTGATACACGCGGGGGGAAAAGGCTTGAGGGAAAATGGATGGGAAATGTATTTTTTGCCGGTATGGATTGGCGATGGGATAGGGTTAATGCTCGATAAGTGCAGGGGGTGGTGTGGATTTTTTTCCAGGTGTTTAGCTGGATTACGTGGAGATACGAAACGGGTCGAATCGAATCAAGATTTTTTTTTTTACATTTTATTAATTAATTCAGACGTCATTCGAGCATTTATTTATAGGAAAGAATAAAGAGTTCATGAAAATTGCTCGATGACATTTCTCTTCAGGTACATCATTTATTCTGGCAATAATAATATTTATTTTATTTTGAAAATAAACAGATATTAAGAAATTATATTCAGCTGTTAGTAAATGTTAGAAAAAGTTGGTAAAATTCTTAGTTGTTGGGAAAATTACTAGAGCTAAACGATTTTTCGGGGAGAGATTTTCTTTTTAATGGGACCACTGGCATCTCCAATCCCCTCAGCTCTCAATTCCTAATTTTTTCTCTCCACCGCAATAAATCTCCATGCACTATTGCAATGAAATTTTTTTCCTCTTTTTCCCCCGGGAAGAGAATTGCGACAAAAATTTCGCGGAAAATCAGTCTCCCCAGTCACGTTTCCCGCATCCTTTAACTCTTCACACCGGGCAAAAATTGGGTTATTACCCCTTAAATAATTTTTATTTTCATTTTCCGCAAGTGGCACAGCCGAAAGTCCTCAGGGAGGTATTCTCTGAAAACACATCATCCAAAAAAAAAAATTAATTTCCCCATGTTATTCCACGAAAACCGCCCCCAGGAATTTCTCCATCCTCTTTAAACTCCCATTCTTTAGTGAAAAAAAAAAATTAGGGCACGAAGATTATTATCTGAGTAAATACGCAACTGTTTGTTTTTATTTTCCCCGGAGCGACCGCCAGCGAAAGAGAAAAAAAATCAAACAAACTTTTCTCTGCAACAAGAGCACCTGAAAACTCGGAAAAAAAAAAATAAGCAAACAACTAATTCTTTCCTCTCCTTTCACCGAGACCCCCGAAAAACTAAAAACTAATATTTCCCCATTGTCCCAAAGCACAAAGGACGAGATAAGAAATGACTTTTTCACTCCACGTACTGCCCACTTTTTCTCCCATTCTGCACGAAGGATTAATATTCCTCTCCTTTTTTTCCGTCGAAAAAACTTTCACTAGTCAGTTCAGTTGAAAGAAGTGAAAAAAAAAAGGAGAGAAAAGGGGAAAAGAAAAAAAAAATCCAGTAGAGGAAGATATCAACCCTCCGCAAAATATATAGACGATCCGTGACTCATGGAAGAGGGTGTAAGTATATGGCTCGTCTCGTAAAAAAAAAAGTCAGTCCCCTAAATTCCGGTTGATTGTCCTTTCGTACTTTCCAGGAGGATCCTGAACGTCATTGTTCCTCTCATCCCCGCATGTACCACATAAGCCAATACATAGAGGAAATAGTGACTCCGACTCACCCAATTTTCGCTCCCCAACGACAAAGAGCAGTCATTTGATATCAGTATCACCCTGTAACCGGTCGCAGATGAATGGCTCATGGGTATAAGTGAAAATACCCGATACCCACCATCTAAGACGGTTTCAACGGTTAATGATTCGTACGGGATCTGTACATCGAGTGCTTTGATTATTCACCGGAACGAAATCCGGATGCCCATTTAGCACTTCCGGGGCTCGAGCCTCGATGCATTTCTGTGACGAATTGTCATGGGGGTGCCATGAAAAATTGGACGGCTCTTGATGCTCTTGATGTTCGTGGGGTGTCTTCGAGGAGATGCCTCTGATAGGGAGATAAATTATCGGTGAAAAATTCAATCCACAGGGAATTAGTCAAACGAGGAAAAAATCATCAATTGGTATTTTCTGGTCTAGACGATTGATTTTTCAAAATTCCCCTGAAATTAAAATCAAAAATCATTATGATTCAATAGAATCCAACGGAAATCGACGGAAAAGATGCGTTTGACGGTTAAATTTCCGTGAAAAATTGAATTGCTTTGGGGATAACTCCGGAAACCATCAGTTGTCTGGAGCACTCAGCGTCAGGGATGTTTTATATTTTTTTTACAGCGGAACAAAATAATTTTTTTTTTCTTTTTTAAAAATTCCACCGTGAAAATTACTCGGTAATTGGTTTCTGGGTGATAAAATAGTGAGGGGTGATGTAATTTTCCCGAAATAGTCGTGAAACCCCGGGGAAATGAAATGTTGTGAGTCGTGTCACTGAAAATTTCTCCGAGTGTAAAAAATTTTTCGTCCATTTTCTCATTTATTTTAGTGAAATCTCCCTACTGGTGGGATGACGTCACCTGCAGCATTCAATCTCATCTAGTTCTCTAACGCAATTCGCTTGTGGGATAATAAAATTAGGGAGGGAGGGGGTGGTAATATATTTTCAAATGACTACTAACGGGTTTTTGGTTTAATGTAACATAAAATGTGGGATTCACCCATAAAATGGCAGCAGTCGTTCCCCTGAATAACGATTATGGGTTTATGAAGCAGAGAGAAGAGCGATATTCACGAGTAAAATAAATGCATTCCTCCTAATTGATCAGATTCACAACTAATTGAGACACTGTTGTTCCTTCATTAATTTCCACGAATCGCGGGATTTGATTATCATGAATTATTTATTCGGTTTGGCTCGCTCAACTCCGAAAATTCAATATCACATCCAATTTAATGGTAAATCGATTTTTTAATCCGATTTTCGGATAAAAATCATCGAAGTTGTGGAATCAATTTTTTAATTGGCGGTCAATGACCGGTAAATTGATCTCCATTTTTTTTTTCCCACTCTGGATCTTAAGAACCCGGTCTATTTGCATAATATCAATCAAGAATGCACCGGTGCCAGGCAACCCGCGCAAATCCTGAAATATTCATATTGCTTCAAGGAGTTGCTATAATAGGACGCAGTCAGACGCAAAACCGACGATCGATTTCTATAGATTGCTATATACATTGTACATATACCCCGAGAAAATATATTCCCAGACAAAGCCCCTCTCCGTGAACATAAATCGAACATTAAAATCTGGTAACCACGAGTTCCCCCGTGACATAAATAGTCCACTGCCAAAAGCGCAAAGTTCATTTGCAATATCTCCCCTCAAAATTTCGCACAGCGCGTAATCCGCGAGGCGGCCATTTTGTCGCCCCAAGCCGCCATCTTGTGCTGCGCCAGCACGCAATGATCACCTCATAAATCGACGATTTCTCCGTTATAAAATCGCTAATAAATGAAATAATTTGATAATTAATTTAATCTGACGACTGGAACGTGCGAGAAATCTCCGTTTGATGGACAGAAGGAATAACAAGGGAGTGAATTTTAATTGAGAAAAAAAAAATGTCACAATAAAGTGGAAAAACAACAGCTGAAAGACGATACATTTATAACAAGAGGACTACACAAATCTGTCATCTCATCCAAACAATTATCAGGGCTGAGCGTTATGTACGAGAGAAGCCAGCCGGCATTACCAATACATTTACACACACAAATCCGATACCTCGGCGCACACCATTGAAGTAAAAATATAACGTTTTCCGAAGTGGGTTTATGTACATATCTCGAAAGTCTGCGTTGAAGTATACTAAGGCCAGCATAAGTTTTTACTTCTCTGGGTACCCCCACTCCACGCAGTTACCACTTGTAACCATGTCCCCCACTCCTAAAATCAATGTTAAAACTTATGCTGACTTCAGTATACCTCCGAACTCTCTAGATGCCAGATGTAACGTTTCACTCTTGTTTTTTATGCCCTTTAACAAACCGTATATAAACTCCTGCGACGATCATCCGCACACTTGGAATTGATAAATGCGATATTAATATATCACAAAGAAATATTGATGGTGGTAAACATTGAGCGTCGTTAATGTTTATTCATTGCCCCCCCTACTCTCCCGGAAATATCAAAAGAATTTTTATTTTCCATATTTTACGAAATTCCTTAAAATTACCAATTACAGATTAAATTGATTATCAATTGATGACATTTTTATTTCACTCTCCTATTATTTTAATTAATTAAAAAAATGATTTTTGTATTTTTTGGAAAAAATTTTAATTATTCCGCGAAATTTTTTAATTTATAGAGATTATAATTTATTAAGAAAATAATGGCGCGGTGTGATTATTTCAAAATTATCACAGACTGTCAACCAATTAACTGACACTAAAAGGTATTGATACCCTGTATTGACAGCCAATAAATAATTTCCGATGAAATGAAACATTTGAGCGAAACGTCGGCATTCCCCCGAAGAGGATCCACTTTGCGAAAATTGAAATGAATCTGCACGAGACACCTGCCATATTGACTCGAAAATACCCCCCGACATGACCAGTAAAAATCAATTAAACATTTAAAAGTTGAAAAAACAAATTTTATAAAAATGCCAACTGCCCACGCGACCCCCAAAATTCCGACAATAAAATGCCTGAATATTTTTTTTTCAGCTCCCATTAACATTTTCGCTGATGTATATTTACGCACATATATTCGTTATTCAACACACCATTAAGTACACATATAAGTCCAGGCAAAGGAAAAGTGTTTGGTCATAAATCGTAATTACGAAGCGGCGCGGCCGAGAATTTGTCACAGGAGCATCCATCAACCGACTACATCTGTGCGACGCCCAAGAATTGCTCATGTACTTGAAAACCATGTGCTAAATATGTATGTGATTCACATAGCGAGTATTTTTTATACCCCAAGTGAAATACCTTGAAAAATTAATTCGTCGGAACGCCACAGAGTCGACGAGACTGATATCCTAATTAAATTAAGAGTACATGCTAATATTAAAACTCAATATTTTTTTACAACTGTACATAAGGTTTCATCAGAGATGGGAATACGATGCCTGAAGACTTATCGGAGCAAAAACGGTGTTCCTTTCTGGACAGGTTTTATTTTTATCCATTTTTTTTTCGTCGATTCGTATCTGAAATATATATGCTGGGGAGTGAAATATTGAAATATGAAGCCTTACGCCCTTTTTCGGTGGACAGCAGGTGGTGAGAAATATTGCGGATAATTTGAATCTCTATCTTTGGAGTATAATAGAATTCTAAGATGGTGAGTGAAGTACTTGGTGAATAGGGCATGCGGCAAAGTACATGAGATGAGTGAAATTCTTCAAATATAAAGGATCATCCCTCCTATTCATAGCGGTGAATGTAAATGGAAATAATGGAAATGATGGAAATGATGGAAATGATGGAAATGATGGAAATGATGGAAATGATGGAAATGGTGGAAATGGTGGAAATGATGAAAATGGTGGAAAGGGTGGAAATGGTGGAAATGGTGGAAATGGTGAGGATGAAAATTCATTAAAATATAGTGGATGCATTAAATGTGGGGAAAATTTATGAATACTTTGAGGGATTCACGTGGTGGTCTGTTATATTGGGGTGTGCTACCAAATAACTTCAAGGGAAATTGCAGCAAAACACCAATAGACACGATAAATATGTAAGGAGAGATAATGGCCTCTTGACGTTATCTCGGCATTTTATTTCGCCTCCTATCTTCCTTTGAAAGATGACCATGTGCTGCTCGAGAGGCTGCGATAAGAATTCGAAGAGCTCCACGTGCGCATCATGTAAATTGATCTCAAATTCTCATTTATGTGTTCGCCTTACGTTTCGAGGAAACCAATTACTTGTCCCCCATTTTTTTTTTTCTTGAAACCTTTTTTTTTTTTTTATTACCCCATTTTTTTTGGCCATTTCCCGGAAAGAAAAAAGAGATAATTCCGGTGATATGTTGAATATAATTTGAGTTGTGAGAGTGGATTTCGCAATTTTTGAGAGGTTTTAATAGAGACGTTGAGGAATACGAAATTACGGGAGGGAAAGGGCTGAAAAAAAAAGTGAAACCAGTGGTCTCAATTCGTCTGAATTTCTGGAGCTTGCGAAGAACAACAGCTGCCTCTTGGGTATGCGAATAAAATATTTAAGAGTATGGAACTAAGTGTATGAACGCAATACTTCCAGACAGACGAACATACAGACAATTGTACTCAGGGGTTTATATATGGTGACAGATGTTGGAGAGCGTCTATAGGAGTAATCCCACTCAAAAAAGGGGGTGGAAGTGGGTGGTACTTGCGATAGCTTGACAACCCTTATCAGACGGCGTCGTGACAATCGATTTTAAATGGTGTTCTGCGCTCATTGTGAGGGGCGATTACACCGGTTAAAGAGAAATGAATAATTAATCGATGTTTCGATTCAATTCGTTAATTGGATATTTAAATTTTTTTACGGGGTGGGGTAAATGGGGATTGATGAGGATTCATCGGTCGGGGGTTAATGATTTTAGATGATCCACCGGTGGGGAGTTTCAAGTCATTTGGGACCTGGGGGTGGGGCTGTTGGGAATTTTTAATGTTAATGAGTGGATTAAAAAGTCTTGGGAAAGGGTCATTAGGGATGGGAAATTGAATTTTTGATTGGGCTTGAGGGGATTGAGGGCGGTGCGCGGCCCTTTGACAGCTGACGTTGACAGCTGAGGGATATGGGCCCCTCGGACCCCCATGTGGACCATTAAATTTTGAAACTCTCGTATTTCGTTTTAGTGTGAAAGCGAGAAGTTTTCCTTTCTCTCTTGATGATTTTTTTTTCGTCGAGGTCGAGGGGGCATTTTTGGGACAGCACAGGCCCAATGACCGATTTTTTAATGGGTTACTGTGACGGATGTAAATAATTACTACATCAACAGAATAAATAATTAATAATCATTATAATTGTATTAAAATATGTGAGAATAATTATGACGGAAATTAATTATTGATTTATAAAAAAATTGATTAAACTCGTTTTTTTTTCAATAAAAAAAATTTAAAAAATGGGGAAATCCCTGAAAATTTCTGCAGTCGATAATTCCGGGATTTTCTTGATCGTCCGTTGAATTTTCACAGCCACCTAGCGCTGAGATCGCCCCGAAAAACTGAAAAAAAAAATACAATCCCTCGCCCCCACATTTTCTGTGAAATAAACATGACTCGCTCGTGCATTGCCCACTCCTCCATCGTTGTCCAAAAAATCCAAATGTAAAATTATCACCATAAAAAACGGGCCTCCCCCCCCAACAACAAATATCAATCCCAATAAACCGTCAATTCCGCGACTTCAACGTGTCTCCTGAGTGTTAAAACAACAAGTGCATTAATTAAATTTAACCGCATATGTGACATGTCCATCAGATTCTAACCAGCACTAATGACATTATGAAAAAAAAACCGTGGAATACTTTCACCGTGAACAAACACGAGTATTAATTCTGTGATAAGGCCCCAGTCCCCGATTAATAAAAGTCTAATTATACTCGGATTTATCACTGGGGCTCGTGTTCCATCAATTGTTTCAATAGTTAATAATGAATTTTCTCTGAAACTTGAAGAATACATAGCAGTAAGTAATTATTTGTTGAGGACTCATGTGTTAATTAACAAATAATTGATTTTTTTTTTGTGGAGTATGGGTTTTTAATTGATTGGGGAAAAATTATCGTGGCCCTGACCAACTTGTTGAGTCTTTACATCTAATGTTTGAGGGGAGGGAGGATGATTCATTCCTGGATGATTGCAATTGTGTAGAGGTAGAAAGTATCTCTCACTGCTTCCGGAATTGTTTGCAGATATGGTAGCAGCTGGAGCGACAGCTCTGATGGCTGCTGGTGACAGCGGGGCATCCAAAACAGCTGATAATGGGGGACAGGAGGGACAGTTGAGTGGTGAGGGCGAGAGAAGGAGAACTTCAGCTTTTGCAACAAGTATATCATTTTTTAAAATATTCTCTTGCTTCATGTCAACTCCTCCTGTTTTCTCTCCACTTTCATTTTTTTTCTCATTTTCGTCGGGGAATTACTCAGTATTGGTTGAATGGAATTCCATGAATTTTATTTTTTTTTCAAGAAGATCTTTTGGAGTTTTATTTGCAATTTGATTTTTTTAAATCCCTCCGCTGGATTTAGAGATATTCCGGATAATGTGCAGCTCGAAATCTCAGATTGTTTTTTTTTGGGGGGTCATGAATATGTTAAAGCGGTTTCGTGAGTTTATTGTGATGATAAAATTAAATTCCTCAGTTATTTTGAGACGTGATCAGAGGATCGAGTTCATCCGCATGATTTTCAATCGGAAATTCCCACAGGGCAAGCGGTCATCGATTATTTAATGGAAGTTGAATGTTGAATTGTAAAAAGTGAATTAAAAAACGAATTTCCATGAATCAATGATCATCCGGGAGCATATTTCCGTCATTAAGCAATCCATTCGATTGATTAATGAATCATCAAACGGCTGAAAGAATTTTCTTCGATAATTGCGGAATGATGATTTTTTCTTTATTTTTTTTTGCCTTGAGAGAAAAAACGGTGAAGAGTTCAGTGAGTCATTCTGAGGCTTTACTACACTGTAGTAGAGCCCATTGATCGGTCTGGTAGTCCGGCTTTATTTAATTGTTAGCATCAATCCAATTACCGATTATTGTGTGTCAATTTAGGGAGGAAGGACAGCTCAATCACACCAAATAAGACTGCATCCATTCGAGAAACCAAGACCTCTAGACTCCGAGCTGCTTCAATAGTTTCTCCAACTGGTTAGAGTCTTTCCAGATTAATTTCCATACAATTACATATTTTAAACTGCTATAAATAATAATTAGACCAATCTAAGATCCACTGAACGATCTCTGAAATTTTTTTAATAAAAACAAAAATAGATTCCATCGATTAAATTGATTATTGGAATTTTACACTCGCCAATAATTTAATTCCTCCAGCAGATGCTTCGACAGTCGTCAGAAGATCTGGACTTCCGGAGACGTCACGCAGTTCCCCCCACACATCGAGCAGCAACTTATCAACAACTCAGGTATAAACAAAAAGCTATCGTCGACGATGGCCTTTGCTGAGTAATTCCTCGGTTAAATTATTGCCACTGTCATATCACCGCCTCGATAACGGAAAAACTTTTCCTTTTGGAATATTTGCAGAAAAATCCACGAGTCTCTGGAATACCGCAGATATTTTTGCGCGAACGAGAGAGACATCGACACTTACCTAACAGAGGGGCAGATGTCCATGAAAAATTGATGGACTCAACTGCTGGTGAGTATTTTTACACCTCTAGAAATTGTGAAGTGATGGAGAGCATCGATTATTCAAGTCGGGGATAATTCATGATCTCAATGGTTTTTCCTGGGATTATGACAGCTCTGACAGATTAAATTCAAGAGTCATGCCGGTGTATTCTTGCTGCCAAAATTAATATTGAAAATGTCTTATCGAATTATTTCAAGAATAATCAGATCTTTTTCTGCGAATATCTCGAGAACTAGTGAGTGGAGTAAAAAGTGTGGATTACATTTTTTTTTTAGAATTTTATTCTCCACAAAAAAGGTTGTACGATGTTTTTTCCTCCACTCGTAGTTCTCGAGATAAATCCGAAATGGAAAAACTAGAAAAATCGTGTGGTCATTGAGGTTTCAAGTTTTCATCGACAGGAGGAAATTTTATGCAATTGAAATTTGCTATCAACGGAGGAGGCCATTTCCCTCCCCCATCGCTGAATTTCAAAGCTTTCAAAGTACTGAACGAACCCTTTCAGCTCATTCCACCCGAGAATACAAAAAAAATAAAATCGATAAGACTACGTATGAGAGCACTTAAACTCTTGAAAATGGGGATGAAAATAGCTTTATCGGAAAACAGGCAGGAAAAAATTCATTCCAATGGTCAGAGCGATGTTTCCCGCATGCCAATCCCTCATCACAAACGTAATTACGTATTCCAAGCAAAAGCTGAGCGGAAAGCCCATAAAAGACCCTTCAAACACAAAAAAAAAAAACAAGTAAAAACAGTAAAATTCTGACGTTTGAAAATTTTCCATTTCCATCACTCATAATATCTCTGAAACCGTCGACCTCCGAAAAAAATGTCCCGTACCTTTTTCCTAGAGAATTAAATTCCGAACAAAAAACTGTTCCTCGACTTTTCCCGTAAACCCGACGGATTCCTCGTAAATCGCGATTTTCTCCCGTAATAAAACGGAAATGACGTCTAATTCCAGGAGAGAGGATTCCCTCGCGACGTCCTAAAAAGCCCTCGAAGCTCTCACCCCCGCCGAAATCCTCTCGCACCCCCTCGCGTCCCTCCTCGATCCCCTCGCTGAAAACCTCCCCTTACACGTCGACGGAGGTTTTGCAACGAGTGGACGCCCTGACAGCGCTGACTCGCGCCACGATGGAGCGAGTGGAGAGACTGGCGTCGTCCTCTCCCTCGAGCGTTCCAGTACCAATAAAATCCCCAAGAATTCCCAAACCGAAAGCCTCCCTCGAGGACTCCAAGTCCCCGCAGGTTGTCCACCCCTTACCCCCGATCTCAATCCTAAAACACAAGTCCTCGGATCCCTCCGAGACCGAAGCCGTCACACCACTGCCAACAGTAGCCTTCGCCCTGTCAACGGAGAAAACGAGAAAAAAACACGGAATCCTGAAGAAAAGATGTAGCCTCGACGAGAATGAGATCCTGCGTCGATCCAGTGCATCACCAGACTCGATCCTCATCCCCGCTGACTCCCCAGAGGGTGATTACCGCCCGATTCTCAAATACGAGAGACGTTCCTCCCTGGATGAATTAGTGAAACACCCGAAGACCGATCAGACACCTCCCTCGATCCTGAAGAACCGCTGGTCCCGCTCCAACGACGAGGAAGATTCAGAGCCTCAGGGAATCCTGAAGAAACATCCCCAAAGCATTGTTGACGCTGTTGCCAAGAGTCTGGGGGTCACCTGGACGGAACTCGAGTCAGATAAAAAATCCGAGGTTCGTCCAATCCTGAAGAAAAAATTCTCTCACGACGAGTCATCGTCCTCTGACCCACCGTCCCTGGAGCCACGTCCGATTCTCAAGAAAAAATCCAGCACCGACTCTGACGAGCACGAGCCCAGAAAGACAATCCTGAAATACAGAAAGAACTCAGAGGATTCAAGCAACGAATGCGAGACAGTTCCGAATTCCCCGAGGAAATTATCAGTCCTGAAACAGCACTCACTCCAGAGGAGAACGAACAGTCTCCCGGAGTGCGATGCCCTGACGGTTAAACCGATTCTCAAGAACTCACGGTCGCGCTCAGTCCAGGGCCCACCACCTGAGGAGGTGTTCCTGAGGAAAAGAGCGGGATCTGTGGGACACGAGGACGGGAAGTGGCCAGACGGCTGGAGGAGGGAAGGATGTGGCAAGGATAATGAAAAAAGTGATAAAGAGAGTGATTCAGTGGTGACATTCGAGTTGCCAGGGATTAGACTGGGATTTTGCTCGGAGGAGGCAGCTGGCAGGAGACTTGACGATCTATCAGCCAAAATCAGGAGGGACAAGAGGGTCTCCAGGAGATTCAGGGATCGGAGAGAGATGCAGAATCTCACGATGAGGAGGGAATCCCCTGGGAGGGGTGGGAATATCGAGGAGACCAAGACTGTTGTTGTAGAGTTCCAAGGAGTAGATGACCTGGACCTGGGGAGGATAAAGGATATGAAGGAGATGAAGGAGAGGGATGGAAGGGATGGAGAGAGATTCTGCACTCAACCTGTCACCTGCCAGGAGGTGAGGGAAGCCAAGGGTATGGTGGACTGCCCTCAGGGAAATGCGGGCGATCATGGAGATGAGGATGATGAGGGAGATGAGGGAGATGAGGGAGATGAGGGAGATGGGAGAGATGAGGGGTGTCGAGAACCTGGTGATCCGTCTAAACTGAGTTTAGCTCAGCGCGTGGCCTTGTTCAATCGCAGAATTGCCACTCAGAGTGAGGAGAGAGCTGGGTGGGTAGAGAGGCAGAGAAGGACTGTCAGTCGTTTTAGAACACAGCCTGTTACATCGGAGGAGGTCGAGGACGCCGCCAGACACGTTCCAAATCCACTAGTCACTGGACAGCCTAGAACTGAACGACTAATCAATGGTGAGGATTTTTTTAACGATCGAATGAGCAGTGAATTTGGCTTGAATGATTTGAATGATCCCCAGGATATCGAGTAATAAAATTCATCAATTCTCAAAAATTCCATTGTTATCAATAATTTTTCAAGGCCTTTTTTTGAAAATAGGGAGTGGTTAATTGAGGATGAGTGAGGGACTGAGTGATAATTGAGTGATTGATGCTGGATCGCAGTGACAACTAGAGTAATTGCATCACCTGCATGATAATCCAATTATTATGAGTTTTTATGTGAAATTTTGATTTTATTGTTTGTCATTTTATTGATTTTTTAAAGTTAAAAACCACGATACACCAAAAAGTATCCTAAAATCATCAAGTTCCTATACCGTATGCAACCGTTCGTCCTCGACAAAATTGGACTTAAGATCGGATTTATCCCAGGAGGGGCCAGAGAGATCTGGGATTGTCCCGGAGACGTACAGTGACAGCATGAAGAGATACATGGGATGTACAGTGCCTTCTTATGACTACACTGATAATAAAGTTGATAAAAATTGTGGATACAATGGAAGAACAATAGCGAGAGTTATTTGTGATAAACAATCACGTGGTAAATTTGAGAGGGATTCAGTGGATAGGAGCTCGAAGGTAATAAGCAATACTCAGAGTTTGGATTTTACTGGTGTCAGTATTGCTGATCGTTTGGCAGCCTTGAAACGCAGTGGATCGACTGATTGGAAGCGTCGAGTTATTTCTGAATCGCTCCCACCTTCCATTGTCGAGAGACCATTGGATAATGATAAGGTCAGATATTTTATTTTCAATTTCACACCGATCTGAAATGTTTTTCAGCAAAAAAAATTCTTGCATTCAAGAAAAAAATGACAATTAAAAATATTTTTGAAGAGAAAAAAAAATAAAGAACGGCCTAAGAGAGATGGATTTTTTATTATGAATTAAAAAAATGATGACTTCATGTATTGGTCTCGCCACTTCATGTATTTTATTTTCTATTTAAAATACTATGCCACGAAACGTGTGAATGAACACGCCGCGGCTAGATTTAGATCTGAACTCGTCATCGAGAGGTGATAAGAGTTATGATATCCCCACGGTAAAAATGAATCGGCGTAATCAATTTTAGGACGGACTAAAGACTGATATCAGCCAGAGGGAAAAAGAGGAATTGATGATTACTCAGAAAAAATTGGCGGATCGCCTAGAGAAGTTGGAATCGGCTGCCGAGGGATGGAGAAAACGTGTGGCCACTGCCGATGCTGTCAAGTTCTCCGTCGCGGGGAAGATGAAATTTGATCAGGTCGACATCGTCAAGCAAAATTCCAAGGTAGTATTTGAATCAATGGGGAACTGCAGCAGTGGAGAGCGGAGAAAGAAAACTCCACACAAGAAGGACGACACGAGAAGAGGTAACTATTTTCACTTTGATGTTGATTTTTTATAATTAATCTCGGTGTGTAGATGTTGTGGATGAGGAGAGCAAGGACGTGACTACGAGGAAGACGTCGAGCACAGTCGCCTACAATAATGGAGGTGAATTATTTGATTTGATTGAGAAATCGTTAGGGTTTATTTTTCCTTGATCGATAAAATTTCTTTTACTCTCCGAATCAGAGGTTCATGAGACATCAATCCAACACATTCCAAATCCAGCGGATGAGACCTTCACATCGTTCTTCTCGAACATCTCCTTCGAGAGATCCCAGGAAGAGACTCTCGCCATCGCCGAGTTGGACTTTGACCTGATAACACCATCAGAGAAACTTTGCTCGAGACGCATGATTCAGGTGCAACGTAGGAAGGTGTCAACTCATCACAATCCCCTGAAAACACTGGCAGCGAGGACAGACTTGAAATCGGAGTACACAGACGTTAAAACAGGTGTTGCTGAGCGTCTGATGAAGCTGAAGAACCTGGAGAAAATCGGTAAGAACTCGTCTTTAGCTGTGGAAGCCCTGGCAGGTCTGGCCTCCACCGAGAGCTTCACATCAGTCTCCCTGAAGTCGACAGACGACACGTCCTCGGGCTTCACGAAATTCCACCCAAAGGACCACGTCTTCCTCATCCTCATAAAAGGCAGGAGACACGTTCAAGTGAGACTCGTCGAGCCATCGATTTCGAGCCTCAATTCAGGGGACAATTTCATCCTGGTCACAAAAATCGAGATCTTCCACTTCATCGGAAAATACAGCAATGTGATAGAGAAGTCGAGGGCAACAGAGATCGCCCTGAGCATCCAGCAGACCAAGGATTTAGGCTGCAAGGCATCCAGAGTCATCACCCTAGACGAACAGAAGAATTCCTTCTCCTCTCAGGATTTCGAGATCTTCTGGAGACTCTTGGGGCACTCGTCACCCACTCCCCCGGATGTGGCAGATGCTGGTCACCCCGATGAAGACGAGCAGTACGAATCAGCCCTCATCGACACAAACGTCGTGTACGAGGTCTCCAACAATCAGCTGATCCCTCTGGATAAATACTGGGGTGCAATTCCGAAGATCAAGATGCTGGATCCCAGTAAAATTCTTATCTTTGATTTTGGCAGTGAGTTGTACATCTGGAATGGCAAGTGTGCACCAGGTGACAGCAGGAGGTCCTCCCTGAGGCTCGCGGAGAGCCTCTGGAGTGAGGGCTACGATTATTCGGACTGTGCCATTTCCCCTGTGGACGCAGCTCAGGTAATTGCAGGGAGAAAAAAACCAGACGATGAGAAAAAGGGGAGTGAGAGGCCTGAGTGGTGCCTCTCAGCGAAACTCACGCAGCACATGGAGACGATTCTCTTCCGAGAGAAATTCCTGGACTGGCCGAATTCGTATGGAATAATCAAGTGTAAGAGACCTGAGGAAAAAGATCGTGACAGAGTCGATGGAAAAATTGTAATCGATCCTCCAGATGTATCCGCCATGACGAGTCATCAGAATCCACCGGTGGATCTTGTCCTCGAGGGGTGTCACCTGGGGCGAGGCACTGGATGGTTTGACGATGAGTTCAATCGACAGTACCTGGTGACCACCACTGATGTCACAGTCTGGCATATCGAGGAGCACTCGTACTCGAGGGTCGAGGAGGAGTCTGCAGGACAATTCTTCAGTGGTGACAGTTATATCATCAGGTGGATGTATCTCATCACTGTGACTGGGAGAGAACTCTCAGGATTGCCCTCGAAGCATGCAGTCGAGGGAAGGGACAGATGCGCCTATTTTATCTGGCAGGGGAAAAATGCATCTTTGAATAAACAGGGGACAGCTGCACTTTTGACTGTTGAGTTGGATAAGGAGGAAGGGCCTCAGGTGAGAATTGTCGAGGGCTTTGAACCCCCGGCATTTCTCAATCTCTTCAGGGGTGGAATGGTGATACACTCGGGGAAGATGTCCGAGAGGGAAGAGAAGGAAAAATCGAAGGAGGTGATCAAGGCATTTTTCTGCAGAGGAGGCAGAGAGGGAGAGACGTCTCTTCTCCAGGTGCCTTTTTCCTCGAGACAGCTCAGGACGAGGGGCTCCCTCCTCTTCGTGAACAGTCGACGTGGAATAGTGTACGTCTGGTACGGGAAGAACTGCCTCCTACGCGGTAAAAGAAATGCATTTCATGCTGCTGAGATGCTGAGGGTGAGGAAACCCGTGGAGATGGGGCTGAAGGAAAAGCCTGAGGTGATAATCGTGGAGATCGACGAGGGTGAGGAGCCAGAGGATTTATTTGGGGAGGGAATGCACAGGAAATTATATGGAACCATCAGTAGAATGATTTCCAGGCATACTCCGAGGATGTTTCATTTCTCAAGTGTCTCTGGGGAGTTCAGGGTGGTGGAGGTATTCTGTCCTCAGAGGGACGAGGAGCATACGGCTTTTCCGTTTCTTCAGGAGGAGCTGTACCAGGCGAGTCAGCCAGCACTTTTTCTGCTGGACAATGGGGAGGAGCTGTGGCTGTGGCAGGGCTGGTGGCCCAACACTGGGGATGAGGATCAGACTGGCAGTGGAGCTGTCAGGTGGCAGGCTGAGAGGAGAGCTGCTATGGGGGCTGCTGTTGAGTACTGGGCCCTGGGGCATGGAAAAAAGGGAGCTATTTACCTGGTCTGGGCTGGCCTGGAACCACTAGAATTTATTAATCTCTTTCCTACGTGGGGGAATAGGGATGAAATCGCTGAGCTCAATATGAGGGATGGTAGAACACCTGGGGAAATGCTGTCACTGGAGAATGAGTTGACTCGACTCACTCAAAGTACTTATCCACCTGCTCAATTACTACAACGACCCTTGCCTGAGGGAGTCGATCCTACTAGTTTAGAAATTTATTTGTCTGCCCAGCATTTTCAGGTAAAGTTTTTTTTTTAATCCAGATAAAATACCCATAGCATTGGTTCATTTATTCGTTCGAATTTTCCTTCAGGAACTACTGGGGATGAACCTGGAGGACTTCCAAAAGCTCCCGTCCTGGAAGCAAATAGATATAAAAAAGAAAATAGGACTTTTCTGACAGCCGTTTGTCCTCAGCCTCAAGAGACTTTGTAAATTATTCTTGAAGTATTTCTAGTAACTGAACTGTCTTCAAAAATTCAAATCACCAATCGCCTAACAGTCTTCTAATCAAAGTACCATTTTTCAAGCTGGCAAAAGGCTACTAAAGTATTAATCCGAATCTGCAGTATAGTTTATATATTTTGAATACAGTAAAAGAGACTAATGGAAACAAAAAATGAAAACAAAAAAAGGAAAAAATTGGCTTGTGAATATCTTACTTATATTTGTACGGGTTTTATATTTATCAATACATGTGTGTTTTAAAATTGTTTACCTCGATAACACGTACTCTTCATTTTTTTCACCCCTCACTTTTCAAACCTCTGGCTCATTCAGCCCCCATGACATCGTAAAATTACAATGAAAACTCAAGCTCCACGCTGTTGTATATTTTATTACAAATAACAGGTTTTAAACTCACGAACGTTCAGTTGCAAATAATATTCTCTCACCATTAAACTCTCGCAAAAATGATCGAATCATTATAAAATATATTTTGTTTTAGAAAAAAAAAATTGCTTCATACGAATATGAAAAAAAAAAAAATATTGTCAACAAAAAATACCAGTGGAGATTGAAAATTATGAAAGAAGAACAAACAAAACAAGAAAATTACATCCACTGGAATAAATTTTTTTGTTTCGTCTCTTTGATCAATCATCTCCCTAAAATTAATTATAAATTTCAATTAATACAATTAGAATAACTGAATATTTATACATACAGATTAATAGAATAGACAATAAAAATTTTGTAATGAACAAGGCCAACGACTCCAAAAACGAGACTGTTTGCGAAATTTTTCGAAGCTAATTACAGCCTCAGATTGCGAAATTTACAGAGCATTTAAAAAAATTATCCGATCCAATGATTGTTCGCGAATTACTCTATTGCTCTCAACTCCACCGCTGGATATTAAAATAATTTAAATACTCTCTCTTATTAATCGTTAATATTTCTCTGATGCGATTCTGCAGTATCTATTTTTTTCAAATTCATTGTACCTTCTCATCCATGTAAGCTCTGATTGCATTTTGACATTCCGTTGAACACCAGTGTTGTACCAGAAGATAGCTCTCAGATTCCAGAGCAGCTGATAATTTTGATCTCAAGCTGTGACGAAGAAGTGCTTTCGTCGCCTCCATAGACTGCGAAGAGAAATAAAATTAATGTCCAACAGTATTACGCAGAGTTCTTACTCCGCATAAAGAAATACGCAATGAATATTAAAATGATGTCCCAACGCTTTTCTAAAATCCCAAGTGGCACACGTGGGTGGTGCGTGGGATCCCCAAGTCAATTCATTTCGATTTATTTTCAATATCGCGTTAAACTCGGAAAACCTCAGATTGCGCAGGAACATGTGGATCTACGTGACATTTTTTCTAATAATAATTGTAATCAGTGATGGAAGGTACATGAGGATCAAGAGCAAACCGCGGAACGTCTTCTTCAAGTACCGCGAGGGAGTGAGTCAAAAACAATTTTCCATTTCAAATGTCTGGAGTTATTAATAAATTCAACTCCAGGTGACAGGTGAGAAAACTCTCCCTAGATGTCGACCCCATGACGCCTGCAATATCCTCTACAAGAGATTCTGGACGGATGACATTGTGGAGAGACTCTGCAGGTGTCCGAATGGAGAGGAATGCCCCTGGACTGACAAATTCGACAATTACACGATGAATGTCAACAACAGATCATTTCTGAAGGTAGAAATTCCTTAAAATTCCTACGAGACGGGAAAAATTTCCATTGACTTCTCCAGGAATTCCCAAATTTCCAGTTCTGCGATCCCGTCAACCCCGAGAATATCTGCAAGCCTCGAAAGACAGCGGCTGTAGTTCGCGGTGAAATTTCAGATAATCATGAAAACCTGACAGCCCACAGAGTTCGAGTCACCTGCTACTGCCCCAAATCCTATTTTTGGCATGTACAGAGGTACGATTACACCGATAACAAGCTTTATCAGCGCTTTAGGTGCTCCAAGGTAAGCGATTAATTATTGCGAATAAAATAAATTATTTATCAATGAGAAAATAAATTGTAATCAACAGCAGAGAATGTGCGGTAGCTACGAATTCTGCGGACTTGTGAGGAACGATTTATATTCCACGTATTATCGGTGCTCGTGCCCCAGTGGTAATTTATGTATCCCGAAAGATAAACAGCTAGAAAGTACTCAAGAGTTTTTGTACTCAGGGCCTGTTATCAACGCGTACTGCGATCCTTGGAATATCAGCAGTACATATTACTAAAAATTCAGAGGCTTTTACAAATTTTTCCCTAAAATCTATACTGTCCAAGCAAATAAATGATTTATGAAACAAAAAACTTGAATTAATTAAATAAAATACAAACCTGAGAGGATTGTTCACTCATGGCTCGAAGAGAAGGCAACAGCTCCACATGAAAGCGATCAGGCCACAAAACCCTGGTAACGAGCCCAGCCCTGAGTGCCTCATTAGCAGTGAGAGTTCTGCCCCCGAGGAGAAGTTCACTCGTCTGAAATATCAGGTTAAAATAATAATTCACTGGAATCCGTGGAAAAATTCAATAAAACCTACCACAGCCGTCCCCAGGACGTGCGACAGCGTAAAAACAGCGGCACCCTCAGCGATCTGTCCTAATTTTCCATAAGGTGTGCTGAAGGAGGCCTTATCACTCGCGATGACGAGGTCAAAAAGAGGCAACATGGTGACACCCAAACCAACAGCAGAGCCCTGAACCCCGGCGACAATGGGTTTATTAAAAGTAGCTAAACTCTTGATGAAGTCTTTGACCCCATCAGCAAGTAATTGAGCATTTGCCCTCCTGAGGTCCTTATCGCCCTCGAGGAGGCTCTCGAGGTCAAGGCCCTCGCAGAAACTCGAGCCCGTAGACGTCAGGAGAACGATCCTGCAGTCATCATCCTTCTTGAGGATCGACAGCACTTCTTTGAACTCCTGCATCATCGGGAGGGTAATACCATTCCTGATTTTCGAAGTTGTCGAGGGGGTGAGGATCAACTGGACGAGATTCCCGTGTCTCTGGACATTGATCTCTTTATTGCTGAACACGGTTTTTCCCTCTTTCCTCTGGTCCTTGGTCTTTCCTTTTCTGTTAAGTACAGAATTCTTCCCTCGATTGGAGGATTCACTGGCTAAAGCAGTCACAGCCTCAGCTAAACACGCCGATAGTTCGTCCTCCTCGTCCTGGGTCTCGTTCAGGCCCTCGAGAAGATCGTCCTCCGATTTTTCCTCCAAGTCGTGCTTGGCGAATGTCACCTTGCTCCTCTGGGTCTTCTTGACCTTCGGGATTTTGCCAGCGGTTCCATTGGTCCTCACATTTTTCTCATCATCGATCTCCTCGTCCTTCGGCTTTGGCATCTTCTTCCTGTCGATGGGCTTGGACTTCCCTGGCGACGACTTCTTCACAATTTTCTGGGGGACTTCGTTCTCCACTTTCTCCACCGACTTCTTTTTCTTGGATTCCTTCCTTTTCTCCTGGTCCCGCCTCTTTCCGTGCCCCCTCTCCTCCAAACTCGACCTGTCGTCGACACTCACCCTCGGACTACCTGAAGCACTCGAAAAAGAACTCGAGGAGTGCCGCCTGACGATGATAGAAGCGTCCGCAGCATTTCTGATCTTCGCAGGGAACAGAAACTCCCCTGGAGGTGTTTTCGATGGTGTTATCAGTGGCTCCTCCTCCATCGGCACACTTCCAGCGGAAATTCTCTTTGCTCTAGGAGCTTTTGGCCCAGGGGCAGCTGACGTTCTCAACCTGAGAACCGCATTCTTCACGAGTTTTGTTCGTATCTTCAACTCCCTCTGGACTTTTTGAATATCCATCACTTTTGCCTGGGACTTTGTGACAGGCACGAGACGCCTCTTACCTGGCTGCTCCACATCGTATAGCAGATTGACGACTCCCTCGTCCTGAAGGAGTCGATCGATCTCATTGACTGATTTTTTTCGCTTAACTGCACCCTCCGGGGACTTCCTCGAGGATTTCCCAGAGCTCTGCATCTTCGGGACTTTGCGAACGATTTTTTTCGCTACTGGTACGGGTTTCACCAGTTTCGAATCCCTCTGGGTCTTTCGGGGAGTCTCTGCCTCCTCGATATCTGTATCTTGAGGTCCAGGAGAGGAAGGATTCTCAGATTTTTTCATTGGAGTTTTCACAGGCTTGACCTTCTGTCGTTTCGCCGTGATTTCGTGCTCCCTCGCCTTCTCCGTGGGCTTCCGCTTTCTCCCAGACCTCGTCTCATCGATTTTAAATTCCTCTATGGTCTCGTCTTCGTCCAGGATTTGCTTGGGTACCACTGGAGACTTCCTCGGGGATATCCTTGATTTTTTCGAGGTCATGGGCAACTCCAGGAGTTGTTTCAGTGCCAATTGCCTCTCGACGAGAGGATCGAGCTTCGGTGGGCTGTTGGTCTCGATTTCTTTAACCTCAGACGTCTGGTTCTCAGATTTAGGCTCGACTGTGAGGGTCGGGGGCTTGAGGTTTGTCCACTCGGGGTCCACGTCCCCCTCGAGGATGGCGAGAAGGTCTTTGCTGTCCGACGAAGGCTCGTGGGGGCTCTCTTTGGTCTCCTCTCGTTTGACTGAACCCTCTGGTGATTCTGACGCCTCTGGAGGTGTCACCGACTGGGCCTTCGAGGATGACGTCCTCGTCTTCGGGGATCTCGAAGATTTTTCGTCCAGGAGGCACTTCAGCTGGTCCTCAACGGGATCCTCTACCTTCGAGGCAATCTCCTCCTCCTCGACGTTACCATCGCTCCAGTCATCGTAAATTACCTCGATCACTGATCGTTTTTTTACTTCGGGACCCTCTGACTTCGGCTCCGGGGGACTCGATGGACCATTTTGACGATCTAGTGTTGGGGATGAATCGGGGGGCGTCAGGGACGGCTCTGCGTACTCTATCACGTTGTACTCGATTGTCTCCTCCGTTTTTTCAGGCTCCTGGACCTCTGGGATCACTATTGTCTCCTCTATCAGGTGAATTGTCTCCTTGTCTTCAGGGTCTGAGGCTTGTTCTGTTCCCCGAGACTTTGAGGGATCTTCAGGGGATTCCTCGGACTTGGGGAGAAGTGTTTGAACATTTTCTGGTGGATTTTTCCCTGGGGACGATTCAGATTTAGTTGTAGTTTCAGGGACAGGTTCAGGGACAGTTTCCATTGACTCTGGGGTCTTCTCACTCGATTTCTCAGGGGTTGAACCCTTCTGGTCCATTTCCTCGTGGGAATTCTCGTCGACGAGCTTCTCGTTCTTCACGTTCTTCCCATTTTCAGTTTTCAGGGGCTCCGATTTGTCCAAATTATTCTCCTCTACAATATCTTGAATTCCTGTCCAGTTCGTAATTTCTTTTTTGATCAGTTCTGGATTTGATTTTTCAGAGTCATTTTTTATAACTCCTGAATCTGACGATTGAGAATCTTTTTTTATGATCCCTGGAGCTGACGAATTAGAATCGTTTGTTTTTATTTCCGAATCATACGATTCAGAATCTTTTTTTATGACTCCTAAAATCGACGATTGAGAATCATTTTTTACAACTTCAGAATCTGACGATTTGGAGTCATTCTTGATGACTTCAAGATCAGATTTAGAATCGTTACCAAAAGCTCCAGCCTCTGCCACGACAGGATTATTCATTTCTTCTTTACTCATATCAACTGATTGAAATATAAAAATTCTCCCAATATTCTACGAAAATATCATGGTTACCTTCCGTTGTACGTCTCGGTGATAAGGAAAATTTCCGATTAGAGGTGTAGGTTAGAAATGAATTGTTGACAACTTCTTCACCCAATACTTCACTCACACTATATTTACTTCGAGTTGATATGATTACTCCAGTGTTTACGTGCACTGGGTCCCTCCGTCACACATCAATTATTCAATTGAAATTTTTCAATATTTTTTACACTCACTTTTTATACCGTGAACACAGATAATGCGGTATTTACTTTTCCACAGTGGCTCGCACTGTTGAAATGCTAGATGTGGCTTCGGCATGATCTCCAAACCGCCATTGTACTTCACTGCGACAGATACAACAAAAGGATGAGTTTTATTCGGAGATTCTCGATATTTTTTTTTATTCCTGTTGTAAAGACATCCCTCTGTCGGGAGGGCACAGCGATACGCAGGTGGAGATTATTTTGCGGGAATTTTTACAGCTGACTGGGGTAAAATGGGCGATGAAGGGGCGGGGGTGGAGGGATATGGGGTGGAAAGGGGGTGGAAGTTTTGCGAGTGAAAGGGGTGAAGGGTTCGTGATGTGGGGTTTTTGGGGAAGGTCGTGAGGTATTTCATTGGTTGCTTTCAGCGGGAATTTTTGAATTCCTTTCTGCAGTCGGACTAGCTTTTTCTTTTATTTTTTTTCATAGCAGGAAATTCATAATCTGAACATTGCAAGTTCAAGGTCGTAATACGATAACATTTATTCAATCCTAAATTATATTACAGAATTTTTAATCTTACAATTAAAACTCCACTGGATTCAGAACCCAGTGATATTTTTGATGGCCTGCTGTTCCTCGAGGGGTCCCATCCTCTGGTAGCTATCAAACTCCAAGGAAAAATTGCCGTTGCCTGATGTCAAAATCCTCAATCGAGTGGCATAACCGAGGAGTTCACTGAGTGGAGCCAAACTTCTGATGATTTTGTCATTCCTCCTGACAGTGACCTCTTGAATTTCAGTTCTCCTCCGGCCCAGATCCGCCAGAACACTGGGTGCATACTCCTCAGGGGTCACGATCTCCAGCTGCATTATGGGCTCCAGCAGCAACAGGCCCGCGTCCCTCAGTAGCTGAAAGCAATAGGAATCATTCAAATCCCCTTAATCACCCTGAACACTCACCTTCCGAATGCACTGAGTGGCTGCAGAGGCAACCATAGTCTCGGATGTCCCCTTGCCAACCTCTAGCCAGTGGAGTTTGACCCCGACATTGATGACAGGACACCCCAGCCTGGGTCCGCTGTTCAGAGCAGCTGTCACTCCATTCTTGACGGCATTCATGAATTTCGGATGGACCCCTGCCAGGTTGGAGGCGCTCTCCTTCGTGTTGTCCATCATCAGGACGCTCTCACCTTCGTAGTTATCAATCAGACTCATGGTTACGTCGACGTCATGCTTGGTGCTCGCCACCACATGATGGAGTTTGAAGGAGTCCTTGATTGGCCTCTCAATAGTTTCCTTGTAGGCGATCTGCAGAGGCCCCAGGTCAACGTCGATCTTATACTCCGTTCTGATTCTCTCCTTGATAATGTCGATGTGCAGCTCTCCCATTCCGGATAAAACTGTCTGCCCTGTCTCCGAATCAACGGAAACCCTGAGACTGGGGTCTTCTCTCTCTAATTGCTGGAGAGCAGAGTCCAGAGCAGATTGATAAGCCATTGACGGTGGCTCGATGGAGCAGAAGAAGACAGGATCAGGTACCCTCGTAGGGTTGAAGAGGGTAAGTCTGTCAATTTCTCTCACGTCCCTCCTCTTCTCGAGGATTTCTTTAGCTCGATTGACAGCTGTGGCACTGGCTGCCAACAAATCACCAGTGACCGTTGACTTGAGTCCCCCCAGGGCTGCGATGTTCCCCTCGCTGATCTCCGGAATCTCTTCGTAATCATCGGCGTACGCTGCGTAAAGCTTTCCTCCTTGTTCAGTTCTCTCTCTCTGGACGTTGTAAATTTTCTGGCCCTTGGACAGCTTCCCTGTGAATACCCGGAAGAAGGTGATGGGTCCTCGTTGCTTGTCGTGTATCACCTTGAAGGCTCTCGCTGCGAAAGAGTCCTTGAAACAGCTGTAAAGACTCGCCTTCTGGTGGTGCATCGGTGACGGGAGGTAGAAGACAACCGCGTCCATCAGAAGCTGGACCCCCACGTTCTTGTAGGAACTCCCCAGCAGTACTGGCACTCCCTTTTGCTGCAGGGTTATTCGTCGGAGAGACTCCAGGAGCAGCTGCCCTGGGATATCATCCAGTGACTCCTCCTGGATGATTTTATCAGCCAGTTGGTCATCCAATTCTGATAATCTATCCGTAAGACACCTTCTCCTCTCCTTCGCAACATTCAGGATCTCGTCGTTGTCCTTTAGCTTCTGTCGCTGGTACCGGCGCCCCTGATTACTCTTATCGAAAGTCACCATCTCCAGAGTCAGCAGATCAATTATCGAGAGCGTCGATTGATCATTGAAATTCTTGATAGGCATTTGAACAGGTAGTGGTGTCGCGTCGAATTTCGTCTGGATGGACCTGAGACACATGTCAAAATCGGCATCTCCTCGGTCCATTTTGTTACAATAAACAATCCTGGGGAGAGAATATCTGTCCGCTTGTCGCCAGATCGTCGTCGTCTGGGCCTCGACTCCAGCCGAACTATCCAGAATTACCACAGCACCATCCAAGGCACTCAGGGTCTGCTCCACTCCCATCGTGAAGTCTATGTGACCTGGAGTGTCTATCAGATTGACCTGGTGATTCTTCCAGGGAAATGTCACTGCCGCCGAGGCTATCGTTATACCCCGTTGGCGTTCCTGTTCCATGTAATCGGTCACTGTGTTCCCGTGGTGAACCTCTCCCATGTTCGAGATGCTACCCGAGTAGAACAACATCCTCTCGGTTGTCGTTGTTTTGCCTGGGGGCCGGAAATTAATACGTGGGCATAGGTATTTGCTCCGTTTGTCGGGACATTTTTTTTTCAAGGCAGAATACTGGAAAAATTGAATCATTTGTCGCGATTCGGTCTAGTGGCCATTTTGTCGGGCTACTCGAACCGCCATCTTGTCGACGCGGGACACGAAAGGCCGGCGTTTTATTCTCGACTCAAATATCAAAGCTCTTAACCTCGAAATTCAATGAAAATACTCACCAGCATCGATGTGCGCCATTATTCCGATATTTCTAATCATCTCCAATTTTTTCTTATCATTTTCGGTATTTGTTGTGTAATTCCGCGTGTGGTAGAACCTTCTTCTAATTTTCCAACAGACATTTTTCCCGAAACATCGAATCCACATGGCAAATTAGAACGAAGAACTCCGAGGTGATCACCGGATCCATGATAAAACTCGGAAATCGTCAGTTGACAGACGGAGGGAGAAAAAAATTCGAAAATCAGGATATTCATTTAAAAAAGACGAAAAATTATCAAACTCTTCAATTTCTAATAAAATATATTATCAAATAAATTCAAATATATGCAATAAAATAAAATTCAAAATTTGACTCCACGCATGCGCACATTAGTGACCGTTACAATATTTTCTTGTAGTGAAGGTGTAAAATTGTTAGTTGTTAATGGTTTGTTTATGGTGTTGTTAAGTGGTTAAACAGTGGAAAAGTGAGACTAAACGGGAATTAATGAGGTTCTCGGATAAATAAAAGAAGAATTCGGGTTTTGTTTTAAATCGATTACTCTTTATTCTCATATCTCAAAAATATATCGGTGTATTACAATGTTACCCTATCTTCGAGTACATTCGTACAAATGTGGATTGCAAAGTTGACAACAATTACCACACACATCTGAATATATTAATTGCTTAAAGTCATGTAAAATCTCCGTAGACTATCAAATTCATATCGTCATATCGTATTACGCCGAGGGATTGAGAACTCGCTGTGTCTCCCGTGAATCCCTCCAAAAAAGTGTAATAGAAAAATTTTCTCTTTTATATTACTTGAGAAATCGAGGCTCGCAATGCCTGAATAAGTTTCAATCATGCAGTGAGTGTTCGTTAATCCAGGATTGAATTTGAGCAGAATAAATACTCAGGAATGAATTAAAGCCGAGGCGAATAAAAGGTAGAACGAGATCCACTTAATCTGCAATATCTCTGGATCGAACGATGCAATTCAGACGAATGTCATTTCAAGACGACAAAATTATCGTCAAAATGGAATAAAGTACATGAAATTTCACTCTAGTGATCCCGAGATATTGTCAATTGAAGAATTCATTTTCTTCATCTTCATAGATATCGTAATTCTTACATTAATTGAGGGTTTGAGCTACAAAAACATTTTCAATATTATGCCTCAACCAATCAATGATCTCACGATTGAGCACAAAATTCCTTGCATCCCGAGGGCAAGACGAATAAATTCATCATAATATTTCTCACACACCAATTATTTATTCTTTCTACAGCAATCCCTCGATAAATCGTATAAAATCGTAAAAATTCAGAATATAAAGCTCTCCCCTACATCTCAAATTCAGACTTAAAAATTTTTCGATTTCAAACATGGACAATTGACTCAATACTGAGAATCCTCGTGTAATTATCCTCAAAAACTCCCCCCAATTATCTCAAAATCAAACACCCCATGAGTTAATCTCCAATCTTTATTGCAAACATCTCCACATCATCATCATCTCAAAAAAAAAAAGTGATCAATAGAAAATGAGAATTACTCTAAAGAGAGAAATCTTATTTCAAAAAAATACATTTATGGCAACTGTTCCTCAAATCTTCGTGTGATGTATCCACCGTAAAAAATAATTGTCCTCCCTCACGAGGGGCGAAACGCCAACGAGAATCACTGAAATTCCTCCGAGAATTCGCGTGTGAAAATAAATTCCCTAAAGGCTTATTGCACCTGACACCTCAGGACAAAAATTCCCGTGCAATTTCATAATAATTCACATGAAATATTCTCCACACGCCTCCAAAAATCATACGACAATTCTAATCAATTTCGTCATCATTGGATGTCCCCTCGATATCCTCCTGGCGTCACAAGCTGACGAGTTTTGGTGGATTAGCATCTGGTGAGCTGAGATCAACAGCTGAAATATTATTTCTCTGTTGACTGGAGCAAGATGGTACTAGTGGAGTTGACACAGGAGTCAATCCAGTGCCACCCTCCATGAGTGAATCAAAATTAAATGGAATTCCACTGGATGGTGTGGTAATTGGTACTCCAGCAACTTCATTAGCTGCCTTCATGAATGCAGGTGTCTCAACTGTTTTGTAGTGCAGTGAATCCGGTCTCTGCTTTGGCTCCACAAAATTGAGGGTAGTAGGTCGATTATTATTGTCAAAACCAACAGGCAGAGAGTTAGGTCGATTTGGTCGTAGATTTGGTGTTGACGTGTCACGATCTGGTGACGCCATGTACCCAGGGATGTTGGCTTTTATCACGGGTTTAATATCCGGTGGTGATGATGAACGGAGTCTGCACACAGCGCGATGTGCCTCCAGAATAAATTCCAATTCGTCTTTCGCTTGCTGGAGCTGGTGAATCTCGTCCTGCAAGCTCTGCTTCTTGTGCTCCAAGCCCTCAGTTTCCTGGTGAAAATAATATACAGATTAGTGAGATTGATAATTTATTTTTTCTTCAAAAAAAAAAAAGTCCCCCAGGGACTTACTTCAAGTAGAGCATTGGTGTGATCCATTCTTCGCTTGCGGCATCTAGCAGCAGCCATTTTATTTCTCTCCCTCCTGACTTGTCGTCTCTCTTCCTCCTCTGGTGACATACCAATTGTCCTGGTGGGTCTTCTACCTCCCATGTTCCTCCTGGCCTGTTGAATCGGTCTCGACTGCTGATTCTCCAGTAGAACAGTGTTATGGTGCTGCTGTGAGCACGTGTTCTGGGTCTGAGCTGGTGTTGGCTGTGATGGCTCCACCAGGGGTGGCACAAAACCCGCCTCACGACTGTGCTGTCCCGATTCACTCGTCAATTCCAAAAATGTCTGCTCAATACTCCGGAGAGTTGTTGGAGTCAGTGTTGGAGTTGTTCGAGTTGGTACCCCACTGTGCAGACCATCCAAAGACGCCAGCTGCAACCGCAAAAAAAAATAATTAAATACAAACGTGAAAATCCAAAAAGCACAAACTCGTTAATTCGAACCACGTGTCCGCTATTTTGACAGTGGAAGGGGTACCGTTAAAGCTGAAAAGTCAACTCCGCGAACTATAATTCCTCCATTTTATCGACTCGGTATCGCGGGAGGAGATAAAAATATCGGTGATCCGAGAGATATGATATCACCCCGCGATTACCGGGAAAATCCATTTTTCAGTGAAGTACAACGAAAATTGTTGGATTACACGCGTTGAATTCCCGTTCAATTCTCCGATTCGAGTGATGAAATATTTTCAACTCGAGTGGACTCATCGCTAAAATTACATACACCGAAAAAGTGAATTTAATTGGCCACCACCCACACGACACATTCGCGAAAAACCGACAGTACCATATGAAAAGTATAAAAAAAAAAAAATATCCACTTATTTTGAGATAATAGAGCGCCTATTCTTCCTCATTAGCGATATTATCATATTTTTTTCCGCGTACGTTCACCTCCGTAGGTTCAAAAAACCTGGGGATTGGTGAGTCGAGTCATCGAAATCCGGTGTCGACAAGCTGAGACTTGCCGATGAGCACGTGATTTCTCTCACGTCCCCTCAAATTTCCCCATCATAATTCAGAAAAGACATTAATGATAATTCCAAGGACACCACAAAGTGCTCGAAAGATACAGAAAGAATTTCTAAGCAACTCCCGTCGATTAGAAAAAAATATAAAACCCTATAAAAAGCTAGCTTCACTCTTCGAGCTGTATCTCCGGATCTAATGGAGACAGCACATTCTTCCTGGTTTCGTTTTCAAGAGCTTTCCTTCCGCTGCAAAAAAAGCTCCAACAAAAATTGCACTATCTCCCCCGGGTCCGGAGATAACCACCAAAAACCGGCATCGAGGCAACCAGTTAATTGAAATCGGTTCAGTTGAACCCCAGGAGGTTCCCGGGGATTTATTTTTCATCCCACATTCGATTGAAAAAAAAAGAATAGTCGACACAATACCCTGAGCACCCGGTGCTTGAGAATCGTCTCCCAAGACGATCTCTATAAATAATCGCTAAGAGACTGCAGATTGCACCATCGAAATGATCTAGTCCATTGAAAATCGAGATCAATCACTCTGAATGACTCCAAAATGACTCCGATGATCATTACCTGCTGGTACAGCAGCTCCTGAGCAAGAATATTGGCAATATCAACTGGATCGATGGCAGTCGTCATGTCGTCTCCGTCAACAATAAATTATTCAGCTAAACCAACACGATTGCACCGATTTAACGTAAACCGTTGCTTATCGTTTATACTTCAAGTGATGAAAATAAATTTTTGAAATTCGTTCGCGATTATTGATCCACGATTCGCACAAAAACCGAGAAAATCGTATCGTTCGTTCGTGATGAGTTTTATGGGCGTCGATTTAATAAAATTGATAAAATTGCACGAGCAAGTCGGCAAAGTCCGAAAACCCGCGTCCTTCTCGGATGCGTCGTCGACCGACGCCTATCTAACACTGAAATGCCATTTAAAATTTTCTCCCACCTCCAACGCATGTGGCAAAAATAGATATCGCGAAATTTTCGAACACGTGCCGCACATCCAAGATTTAAGCGTCATTTCCACGCTTGATTTTCAAAATATACACGACCAATTATCCTCACGGATATGGAAATCTGAATATTTTATTCGTCACTCGGTACTTCTTCAGGATTAATTCCAAAATAGAAGTCTTAATTAGAGTTCTATGTTTAGGGCACAGAAAATGATCAGAGAAAATGGCAAAACGCCAGAAGTACTCGTACTCACAGAAATATTAAGACGGATAAACGATTGGGCATCGTAAAACCATCAGCGAAATATCATTTGGGGAATTTGGCAGTCGGTGATTTACAAATGAATATTCAGTATGAATTCCTGAACGATTGGCACAAGCCGCAGTTAAAAATTATTTGCAGTAATTTATTTGATTATCATAATTCATGGCTACAACCGTCTCCGGATGTGGAATTTACAAATGCCTCAATAACGGATCTGATAGATAATGAAAAACAGACGGATCTGATAAGCAAAGAGAACCGGAAGGTGCCGGTATACCACGAACTCTTGAGGAACTTCCGACGTTCCAAGATTTTTATTATTAGCGCCGAAATTTTCTCAGCGGAAGTCGACTGATTTATCGCTGATGAACTCACCTGACAGATTTCTAGTTTCTGATAATTGTGAATTCACTCAAAAAATTAAAAACAATCCCCAAATAATTCCCATTTATAATTCAAATATCTGCGGAATGCGCGAAATATTCCCGGAATGCCCAACCGGAAATTGCGAATACCTGAAGCCCTCAATTTCAAATTCCTGTAGTTCAATAACGAAAAAAAAATATATTCCGATTCACTCGCGAGCCTGTCAACACCCGCCTACCAATTTCCTACCAATTTTCTCTCTTCCACTGTAAATTACCCTGTTTAGTGGTAATTAACGTCAATTATACCAGAAAAAAAAATTCTCTCAGTGGAAACAATTGATTAATTCCTATTTTTAGGTATTGACGGTACCCCGAAATATTGACGAAACAAATATTATCTAACAGGCCCTCAGCCTTGACCACATCCCCTTAGGCAACCCCTAAAATATTAAATTTCCTAGACTCCACGAGTCCAACCTCTCCCTCTAAATTTAGCATGTGAAATGGACACGTAAGTACATCAACACGTATCAAATACTCAATAAACACTCCATGAAATACGATACGAAACGATGAAAAGCCTCTTATCTCAGTTGGTAAAACCCTCGGCCTCAATTACAACTCAACATGACAAGTTAAAATCACCTATCGATCCAAGACAATTCGAGTGAAAAAAAAAAACACTCCAAGAGGAAAAACCTGGGATAATTCCAAAGGAATTGATTGAATCAATTGAAAAATGGAAAAGAAAGAATCCATTGAGATGAGCCCGCATTATCCACCAAAGAGGATTAACTCAATGTATTCCATTCTATTCTCATCATCCACTCGCGTTAACAATCATCCATTATTTTCAACTATTAGAACAAAACCAACGGGCAAGTGCGGGAACAAAGAAAACGCTATCGTTCCTTAAATATAATTCGTCCATCGACCCCGAGGCCTGAAAATTCTCCACTCTTTCGAAATAGTCGTCTGCAAACAAAGGAATGTCTTTAAACACCCGGTGATGGTAAATAAAAATTATGGTTTTGAGAAAAAAAAAAAGAATCGAGCGGATGGTCTGGTTTTTTTCCTTTGTTATCAGTACTGGGGAGATTGAAGACCGCATTGACGATTTTTCCCGGATTTCGGGGAAATAACCCGTGATTCTGGTCAATTCTCCATCTCTAAAAATATAATAAAACGTCAGTTGTGGATAAAAAATAAAGATGCTCAACTGAACATGAAATGCTGAATGAATTCTGGGAATCGGATTGAGAGAAAAAAATAATTGTGGAGTGGGAGGGAGTGGGAGGATTTCATGAAAATGTCAGGCCAAGATCAAGAGGTCGATTAACCTGCCGAGTTCCAGGAATCAAGGACGATAAAAAAAATATCAATAAAAATTACGAAAAATGCGGTGCATGCCTTAAAATTTCCCTCTCACTCAGCGGAGAAATAATGAGGCAATCCCTGGGAAATTCCAGGAAAAACAACCGCTGATTTTTCCATAAAATTTTTTCAAGTCGATAAACATCTGAAATTTTCCGAAAATCATGGATTTTTAATTTTTTCGGTTTTCCCTCGCATAAATATGAATAAGTTCCTCATAATGCGACGCAGTAGCTGTTGTGGAAGGAGACGCGATAAAGAATTCAGATGAGAGGAAAAAAAAAAAATGTACGTGCGAGGAAAAAAGGCGAGAGACAAAGGACTAACAATAAATCAGCAGCGAATGGTGGTAATTTACGGATTTACAACGAGGCCATTTTCGCTGAGCGAATGACGTTACAATTTTTCAGTCATAAAAGGAAGACTTTTTTTATTTCCAATAAAAACGAACTTACCAGTTACGAAAAATCCAACAGATCTGTCAACTCTTCTTTTAATAACGATCGACGTTGTTTTTCAACGGAATAAAACCAACTTGGAACTGAGGATGGAGATTCAATGAGCCGCGACCTTAATCGTAGAATCGATGACGTCTTCGAGGTAAAAAAAAAAATATATATACGCGAGGAAAAAAGACTGCAAGGATAAAGTCGGATGGACGTTGGAGTGGAAGTTTACGGTCCGGAGTCTAGAGTGACACTGACAGTGCGAAGGCTTGAGTTTCTGTCATCATGCTATCACCACATGGCCCGAGTCGACGATTCGGGTGGAGTCGTGGAAGATCGGCTGCCGGTCGACAGTCGGGAAGTCCCAAGTCTTTCAGCAGTATTGAATTTTTTTTTCTATCATTTTTTAACTCATGAAAATCCCTGAACTCCCCGGTCCCCACAGGTGTTAATTTTCATTGTTATTATTTTTTTTTATTTTTCATACGGAGAAAAAATTTTTTATCGATTCATTTCTGTTATCAAAAAATATTTTTTCTTCAAGTGATGAAAATCGTGGATGTTCGGCAGTCGGAAAAACCCGAGTCCACACACTCATCTGAGCTGTCCGATTTTTTTTATACGAAAAAATTTTTTTTTATGAATTTTATTTTTTATGTTACGAATATCACGGGATAATTCTCTGCTCTCTCTCCGGATCACGAAATCATCAACAATTACTGAGAAATCTGTTTATTCAGTTGTCACACAACGACATAAATGATTCCTAGTATTCCGCACTCTAGCCTTTCATTTTTCATCATCACTCGGCCTTCTCGCTCTTTTTTTTTCCAATCCAAGATTTTTGCGCTCGTTATCCCAGGCAAAAATGGATCAACTCCTGAGTGACACCTTCGAAGGGTCAACCCTGGACAATTAGTTTTTAATTCTGAAAAAAATCTAGAGGCCCAGAGCGGCGAAATTCCGAGGTGATGGGACACTTTTAATTTTTTTTTTCACATCAACTTGAACTAAAACTACCCGTGAATTCCTGGGGACTGACGCAATCCCGAAGGCATTTCCGATGAGTGTGGCTGCACTCTGGAGCCCTCAGGAATGCGCATATAAAAATTTCACCTACATATGAGAATCCCAGACATAAAGCCTCAACTTTTTTTTCACGTCAGGTATTTTTTCTCTATTTTATTCTATTCAATAGAGGATCGTCACGGTCTTTTGTGCACCGGAGAGAGGGGAAAGGATAATATTTCATTCAAGAATTTATTAAGATTCTATTCCTGAAATCCTGATGGAAAAATTCAATTCAATTTTGACGCGTAATTTTTTCTGGCTCCAGTCATCCATCATGCGAGATAAACCGGAGAATCCAAATGTCATTAAATAATCGGTTGGAGAAGTGTCCAAAAAAGAATGAATTTAAAAAAAAAATGATTCTGGGAATTGATGAACGTCACGAGTTGAATGTAAATCCGGGGAAAGTACCTGTCGTCATAATTCCCTCGAAAAAAGCGGAAACTTCTCCGAAAAAGTTTAATCGATTTTAATCGCGATAGAACCGGAAGTTACATCCGACGTTTCAAGGTCGGAGTACTCACGTCATATCGAAGTAAAAAGATATTGTTCTCGGAAGAAAAAATAGCAATGATCATGATTTTGAAAAAATAGAACTCCCGTCGGTAAAATGATCAATTAATTCAATCGATCGATGAGAAAAAATGTGAAAATCAAATGGATTCAGAGAAACCGATGATTCATATGCACTCGCGACTTCCCAGTCCCTGAATCGTGGAGGGTAATGAAAAATTGTGGATGTAGTATATGATTGCGTAGATTTCATTCATGAGTCTAGGAGTGACTCATTCCACGCAAAACTGAAGTAGAATCGAAAATAAAACCGGCACCTGGGATTCTGCACCGCGTTAATACCGGCAGACGGTTTTTTATATTCATATTTTTTTATTTTGTTGGTGATATGACGTGGCGAAAGCACGCGAGACAAGTGTGTCATCAGGATGGGTGGAGAATCGCGGAAGTTGTGGAAATTATTGCCTTGAGGGAATTGTCTGTTGCCTCTGGAATTCCGCGCAATGAAAATTCCGATTTCCGTGTAAACCTCGCCATAACTCGTTACCCAGCCATTTCACAGCAAAACCACAGAGAGACTTCCTCCATAAAAATCCCTCAGCAACAAAAAAGGTCGAATACATTTTTTTCAAAAATCAACCCATTCCGAGGTAGTCGCGCATCAATTAAAATTGGTAGAATTGCAAAATTTGAAAAACGATTTTTTTCGTGTTTATATTAGTTGAATTAAACCGTGAATGGGTAGATTCAGCACAAAATGTGATGAAAAATTATAAATGGAGAATTTCGGGACCTGCAAAAAACGTTCTATGCATTTTTGTGTTAAATCCGTGTATTTCCGAAATAACAGGTTAATTCGTGTGACTTCATCTTGTACTTTTGTTTTCTCGAGGGAGAATATAATAGTTAAAGTACTGGAGGAGTTACTTGCGGATGTAATAGCACC